AGCACAGGGCCAGAGAACGTGCTGTGACTGCCCGACACTTCTCCAGCCCAAATGCCTGCGCGGAGCCCTCTTGCTGCTTCACGGGGCCACTACTGCCCCTCGCAACCACTGCACTTGCAGATGAGGCCCAGAAAGTAGAAGAGACTTGTCCAAGGTTACATTGCCAAGAAGTGGTAAAGCTCAGCTTTGAACTCAGAGTCCAAGTCAGAGGCTGTGCCCTAAACATCTCCAGCGCTCTGACTTCAGATGGCACGGCCCTCGTTGAAGCCTGCAGGATTTGGCCAAGGGTCTGATGTTCTGGGCTGTTCTGGGTAGAAGGTACACAGTGCTCCCAGCCAAACCCCACTCAACCCCAGCTCTACCACTGCCTGGCTCTGACCTAAGGCAAGTAATCTGTGTTGATGGGCAAGTTTCTCTTCTGCAACATTACTGGAGGGCCAGAGTACATGAAAAAAATCCTAACTGAATAGTGGGAACATGGTTCAGCCTGTATTGGTTATTATTATTGTAGTTACTGTTCGTAACGGGTGGTAAGATTTTGGATTTCTTTTTTTTTTTTTTTTTTTTTGAGATGGAGTCTCGCTCTGTTGCCCAGGCTGGAGTGCAGTGGCACAATCTTGGCTCACTGCAACCTCTGCCTCCCAGGTTCAAGTAATTCTCCTGCCTCAGCCTCCTGAGTAGCTGGGATTACAGGCACGTACCACCATGCCAGGCTAATTTTTGTATTTTTAGTACAGACGGGGTTTTACTGTGATGTACAGGATGGTCTCAAACTCCTGGCCTTAAGTGATCCACCTGCCTGTCTCCCAAAGTGCTGGAATTACAGGCGTGAGCCACCAAGCCCAGGTGTCAAGATTTTGGATTTCTTTACCTTATTCCCAGTCTAATTCTCTGACCCACATGGGTTACTTTACACAGGGCACTGCTGTAACCTCTAACAAATGACACCTCTTGTAACACCTGCCACATGGAAGTGGGCAGAGATGCTGGCCCAGCCTGGTGTCTGGCCCAGGCTTCACATCCCTGGCTGGACACTTGCCTCTACCCCAAGCCCAGTGGCCTCCTGGCCAGCACTCACGCGCAGTGACGGCAGGCTGGACAGCTCCCCATGAAGCGTGGTCAGGTTGTTGTGGCTCACAGACAAGTGTTCCTGGGCCAGGATGGGAAGCACAGGCTCAGCAGGGTGCGTGGGGTGTCCAGAGTCCCCACCTACCTCCACAACTCTGCACCATCCAGGAAGGCCTCAGCCACACAGGCCCAATTCCCCCTGCAGCCTCCCTCCCTCACAGACCTGTCCTCTTTTTGCATACGTTCCTGGACAGGGTGTCCACTCTCTTTCTGCCGGCTTTGCTCATAGCTGTCAGTGTTCTTCCTCTCTCTGGAGAATTTGTCTCCCTTCTCCACAAGCTCTGCCCATCTGGCTCATCCATAGGGACCCTCCCTGCCTGCCCAAAGCCCCTTACCAGCTTCTGCAGGGCGGCCAGCTCCTCAGGCAGGTAGCAGAGGCCAGTGCGGTTCAGCTTCAGCCATCGCAGGCTGGTCATGGCCTTGACATTCTCAGGGAAGTAGCCACCCTGGGGGAAGGATGTGATGGTGAAGCTGGCCTGGGATACAGAGCCCCTGCTCACCACCTTCTCTGGCTCCCACTGCCCACAGGAGCCTCTGGGGACTAACAGAACCAACTCCCACCAGCTGAGAGAACACAGACAGGTCATTTCATCACTGTGCCTCAATTTCTTCACCCATAGAATGGGACTAATAAAAGCCTCCCTTTCACTGTGACAAAAGTATTGGCCTAAGATCTGTCTCTGCTACTGGACTCTGGGCCCCAGGAGGACCAGGACAAAACTGGCTTGTTTCAGGTGAGAGCCCAGCACCTGGCTTTGTGGGCAGCTCCGCTCAAATTCCTCCAGCCAGCATTCCATGCTCTGACTGGCTGCCTGGGGTGGATGCTCCCTGCTTCAAGCCTTTGCGAAGGCCCCACCTGTGTCCTCACCCTACCATCAGCACACAGGCAATTCATGGTCAGGGCGAAAACCTTGCTTAGGGAGACCATGGCTCCCCACCCCACATCACTGCACTCCCCCCCACCCTTGTGAACACCCACTTTGGCATCTCCAGCGCTGTGGCACCAAGTCTGGGGCAGCACGTGCCTTCCCGTGCCCTCGGCTGGTGTTCCTTTCCCCCCAGGGCCACATTCCCAGCTGGTGACTCAGACTCTCCCAGCACAATGAAGAGGAACAGAGACCCCAGGTAAGGGTGGTGGGGATGGGGACAGGGAAAAGTGGTGTGGCCACCTGTACTCGGGGTCAAAGGTGTGTACACAAGCAGGTAAACTCAGGAAAAACCTGCCTCCTTGGCCCCAGCCCCAGACCGACACCTCAGCCAGACCCTGCCGGTCACCCACCCTGAAGGTGAGGCTGACCCTCCAGCCAGCTCTCCCCTCCCCTCTTTCTCTGCTTCCCCTTCGGTTGGGCATTGCCCGCTTCATTCGGAGCCCTGGAACCACCTCTCTCCCCACTGGCTGCGGAGGGCTGAGCTGCCGTGCCTTGTCTTTCTCAGTCCAGTAGCTGCTCAGACAACTGCCACCCAGCACCTGGCACGCCGGCCTGACACTCTCCACACCAATAAATCTCATTACACCCCTTGCGTCCAAGAAGGCGACTCTGAAGCCCCTTCACCGGCTGAGAAAGCCCGGGCTCTGAGAGGGGAAGTGATCTGATCAGGATCACACAGGATGGCGGGTGGCGGTGACGAAGAGAGGGCAGTGATGAGTCGGTTCCACACCCGCCCCTGGGCAGCCGGGCTGCCATCCCTGAGCCAGGGCCTGGCTTGAGCGTGTGACCCCAGAAGGGCGGGGAGCCTCGCCGACCCCTAGGCCACCGTCCAGCCCAGGCGGGGAACACGAACGTGGGGTTGGGGCTACCGGCCAGGTCCCCGGCGAGACTCCGAGCCCAAGCGTCCGTCCTGGGCCTATCGAGCCTCGGTCTCCCGGTACAGGCACCGGGAAGAGTCCTCGGAGGTCCATTCGTGACCAGGGAAGAGACCCACCCCGCCCCGGCCGCAGTCCCGGGTACGCGCAGGACCCGGAGCCGGGCGGGACAGGAAGCGAGAGCCAGGCTGGCTGGGCGGAAGAGAAGGCTTGCAGGGAGGCCCGTCCCGCGCCCGTCCCGGCTTACCTTGAAGTCGTTGCCGCTGAGGTCCACACCGCGCACGAACGGCAGCACCCCGGTGGCCTCCATGGCGCCGCACTCGCTGCCTGGCCGGGCCGGGCTAGGGGGACGCCCGGGCGAGGGGTGAGGGGAGCCGCGGGCTGGGCCAACGCCGGCCCCGCCCCTTTAACCCGCCCGCGCCCGCCACATTCCGCCGGGAAGTGTAGGCTTTAGGCCTCTTAGGGCCTCAGTTTCTCTGTCTTTTCGGGGGCTGCAGACCCATCAAGTTGCCCCGGCGCCCCCTGTGCTGGAGCTGGAGGCTTCCGCAATCTCCAGGCTTAAATTCCCAGAGTCCCAGGGCAGGGGCCTTCAAGGCCGCTGGTCCAGGCATGGTCCCCTGTGCTGCTGTAGCAGACGAAGCTGGCCCTGACCTCAAGTGCTTGCACTTGGCTGACCGGTGGTAGTGAGACACCTGGGTCCTCGGGTCCTAGTTCTCCTGCTCTGGATGTAGTTTCCTCATGCGTTGTTTTTATTTTGTTGACACAGGGTCTTGCCCTGCCGCCCAGGCTGGAGTGCAGTGGCGTGATCATAGCTCATTACAGCCTGGAACCCCTGGGCTCAGCCTCTCAACTAGCTGGGAGAACACCACCACACCTGGCTAAATTTATTTTTATTTTTGGTAGACATGGGGGTCTTACTATGTTGCCCAGGCTGGTCTTGAACGCCTGGCCTCAAGTGATCCTCCCGTCTCAGTCTCTCAGACTGCTGGGATGACAGGTGTGAGCCACTGTGCCCGGCCCAGTTTCCTCATTTGTAAAATGCTTCCTAAGTTTGTCGCCATAAGCAAATGAACAAAGAATGCAAGTGTAGCTCGCAGCATACAGCAGGCGCTCAGTGAGTGACAGGTTATTACTCCGTTTTGTTTTGTTTTATTCTGTGTGCCAGGTTATTATTCCCACTTTGTGTCAGCACCCTTACGCTCGTGTCCCCCAAAGGGAGGGTCTAGAAGAGAAGCATCCGTCTTGGTCCCTGCTGTTCGCAGGGGCTTACCCTGGCTGACACATAGCAGGCCCCTAAAACATGAGCCACAGCTGTTATATGACTAGCCACCATTCGCAGGGGAGGAGGGGGTCTGGTGTCCCCATTTTACAGGAGAAAAACTGAGGCCCATGTGGAGAACGGCCCACACAAGGTCGCACGGAACAGGTGGCAGGGGTAGGCGCTTTCACCACACTGTGTGCCCCGCAGGCCCACAGGTTAAGAATGAAGCCACCAAGACACACTCGCAGAGGTGATCTAAGAGGTTAGATGTGCCTCGGCCCCCGGAAGTAAAGGGGGCCCAGACAGCTTCCTTCACACTCGGCGCTCACATTACAACGCACAGGCGTCTAAGAAGGCTGCCTGTCACAATACCCGGTCGCGGGCTCCGAATGCAGCCCTGCACCTTTAAATCCAGACTGCGTCAGAGAGTCCCGCCCCGAGGGAGCGTGTCAGTTGGCTGGGGGGCGGGGCATACCCTTCATTGGCTGAGCCGCGCAGTATTTTGGAACACGTGTGCTGGATTTCGCGCTCCGATTGGAGGCAGGGTCTGCTTGTCTGCGTCCTGCGGCTTCCGCGGCCGCCCCCGGGTCCCTCAACGTTGGGTTCCAGGTTCCTTCTCGTTCCATTCCCAGAAAGGTCCGAGCTTAGGGGCCGTGGTCCTGCTGCCTCCTCCGGTCATTGTGCGGACGCTGCGACGCAGGTACGGCTGGAAGGCGGCGGGGCGGCCCCCAGAGTCAACGGGCCCGGGGCTTGGTGCGCTACGGAACGCAAATCGGGGGCGTGGCCCGCCGTCGCCGCTGGGTAAGGCCGGGAGGGTTTGGGAACCAAGGCCCGCGTTCGAATCCCAGCCCGGCCCCCTTCCCCTCTTGGTCTCTCGGTTTCCCTGCGAACAGGGCGTCACCCGCTCACCTAGGGCTGCTGCGCGGCCCGCTCAGCCCAGGCCCAGGGCAGGCAGATTTGACGGAGGAGGAGGAAGGCCAGAGGGCCTCCAGGGCACCGGTGCGCAAACTCGGGTTATTTTCAGCCACCGGTGCCCTCTCCCGCTTCTAGGACCTGGAAGGCTGTGGGCTGAGGCCTGTGCGACCCCGCAAGCGGTGGGTCTGAGTCCCAATTTAGACAGGTTGGGAATATTTAAAGCGCTTTACAGTTTGCAAAGTAGATTCCTGGTCTCTCTGGGGTCGGGTGGCAGTATTGATCCCCGTGTCACGAATGAGGAGGCTGAAACCGGCCCTGGGGCCGTAGCGGGTCACCCGTTTGGCCTGGGATCGCCCCAGAGAACGTCTTATTTTTAGTCTGGGGCGAATGGGCGGGTGTCCGGGGCTGAGTCACACAGCACTTCAGGCTTCAGCTACTGCAGGCATCTGGTCACCTGGCAACTGAGCCCCTGGCACCCACACTCTGGCAGGGCAGGTAGAAGTCCTTGGTGCCCGGGCAGGCTGTGACCTCATGGTCATCTGCTCAGGCCTCTCTGGGAGAGTTCTGCATGTCGTCTGATGTCCTAAGGTCACAGCGCCGCTCAGCTCCCAGGAACTGAGGGCAGTGTCCGGCTCGCAGAACGTGAGGCTGGGGGTTGGTGGACTGGGCCGCAGGAGATCTTTGCCTCCACCTCCCAAGTGCAGGGCCCCACCCAACCACACACTGCTGCCCATGCCATCTTACAGGTGAGCAAACAGGCTGGGACCCAGGCCCTCACCTTACCTTCTCTGTTGCTTGGCCTCCTAGCAGCTGAGAAGCATCACCCACCACCACCAAGACTGAGAGGCCCAAAGAGCCCACTGTACAGAGGTCCTGGGCAGCCCTTTTTCTGGGTCTTGATCTTTTAGGTCACCTTGCTTGTTGCCCTGCCGGAGGGGCCTCGGCCCTTGACTTGCATGTCTTCATTGGCCTGCCTGGGCAGCTTGGGCCATCTCACTCTGCCTGTGCTCTGACTTGGTAGTTCTGCCTCTTGGGGCTACCCTGTCAAGATTTGGGGGGTAACTGGTCCCAGAGGTCCCCCAGACTGGTGGGGGCCCCAAATATTGTTGGTCTTCTCTGGACTTTGGGGTCTTCTCAAGAGGTTATCATAGAGAGCTGCTGTGTCCTCTGGTTAGGAACCTTAAGATGAGGCTGCTGCTAAGGACCTGGCCACCTGGCACAGAGGATCCGTCAGACTCTGGGGGCGGATGAGAGTCTGAAGGCCTTGTAGTTGTGGGCTGGAGACCTTATCACTCACTGTGCAATCTGGCAGCCTGGAGCTCTTTAAAATACAGGTGGTGGTGATAAGACCCACCTTGCGGGTTTCTGGTGATGTCAGCGGTCCTAGAGGATAGGCCCCTTCCTTGGCACAAGCCTCAGGGCCTTTGTGAGCTTCTTTCCAGGGGGTGGGTTGTTTGCAGCTTTGAGAGAAAGGGCTTGGCAGCTCCCTCATCTCATGAGAGATGGGGACTTGGGGCCCCAAAATCCATATTCCTATCCCAGCCCTGCCCTTTCTCAGGTAATTTACATGGTTCCCAGGACCTTGGTGTCCTCCCCTGTGGATGGGTCCCTTTCTCATGAGAAATTCTCAGAAAGCCCCCCTTATGGGCTCCGCTCTGTTACCCAGCATAAGGACAGCCAGAGCACCTATCCACAGCAGCCCCTCTACCAGCCTGGCCACCTGCACCCTGAGCTGTCCCTTCACCCCTGGCTCTCTTACAGGCAGACCATGGCAGAGTTCTCCCAGAAACGGGGGAAGCGGCGTGGCGATGAGGGGCTGGGCAGCGTGGTGGACTTCCTCCTGGCCAATGCCCGTCTGGTGCTGGGCGTGGGCGGGGCTGCTGTGCTGGGCATTGCCACCCTGGCCGTGAAGCGGGTAAGGCCAGGCTGGTCAGGTCATGCCTGAAGCTCCTAGAGGAGGACAGGGTTGGGCCTTGCAGAGGGGCCCTGGGGAGGGGTGGGGACTGCCCAAGGCCTTCATGGGAGACCAGGTCACCTGCTTCTCCACCCCAGCACCCTGGTCTGCTTTTCCCCTGGGCTTTGCTGTAGCTGCCCAGACTTCATCTACTCTGTATGACTCTGCCTGCAGTTCATTGACAGGGCCACTAGCCCACGGGACGAGGATGACACCAAGGGAGACAGCTGGAAGGAACTGAGCCTGCTCAAGGCCACGCCACACCTGCAGCCCCGGCCTCCACCGGCTGCCCTCAGCCAGCCCATGTTGCCCTTGATCCCCTCGCCTTCTGCCCCAGGTGAGTGGCACTCCTTCCCCTCTCACGTTGGTGGATACCCTTTTGTTGTCACATTTGAGAGATGAAGCCCAGGCTCTCCCCTGACTGACCCTGTGCAAGTCCCTGCTTCTCTCTGGGTTGTGAGCTCCTCAGACATTTAATGGGGGTGGTTTTTCTTTGCCCTGCTCCTGTAGCAAGGTGGCAGCGTTGTGATGGTGGAGAGCTTTAGATGGGGAAACTGAGGCCCAGAGGGGCATGACCTGTCTACTTCCTCTGCATGAAGCTATTTTAGCCATAGGGCCAGGGTGTTGGACTCTGGGGCAATGAGAACTCGTCACCAAGCACTCACTATAGCGAGGACCTGGACTGAGTGCCTTCCCAGGTGAGGACAGTGAGGCCCGGGGATATCACACAGCTAGTCGTTGGGTAGTGTTTTCTTAATTAATCACAGGCTGTTCCAGCATGTTCCTCGCCCCTTCACTCTGCAGAGGAGCCTGCAGAAACTGATCTTCAGGTGACACTACAGCTCAGCTCCCCAACACCGCTGTGTCTGACACTGCAGGAGAGGCTGCTGGCCTTCGAGCGGGACCGTGTGACCATCCCAGCAGCCCAGGTGGCTTTGGCCAAACAGCTGGCTGGCAACATTGCCCTGGAGCTGCAGGCCTACTTTCGGAGCAAGTTTCCAGAACTGCCCTTTGGGGCACTTGTGCCTGGGGGGCCACTCTACGATGGGCTGCAGGCAGGGGCTGCTGACCATGTGCGTCTCCTGGTGCCACTGGTACTGGAGCCAGGCCTGTGGAGCCTGGTGCCGGGCGTGGACACTGTGGCGAGGGACCCTCGCTGCTGGGCCGTGCGCAGGACTCAGCTGGAGTTCTGCCCCAGAGGGAGCAGCCCCTGGGACCGCTTCCTGGTGGGGGGCTACCTCTCCTCCCGCATCCTGCTGGAGCTGCTGCACAAGGCGCTGGCTGCCTCCGTCAACTGGCCGGCCATCGGCAGCCTGCTTGGGTGCCTGATCCTACCCAACGTGGCCTCGGAGGAGCTGCTGCTAGAGGTGCAGCACGAGCGCCTGGAGCTCACTGTGGCCGTGCTTGTGGCAGTCCCTGGGACCAAGGCTGATGACCACCTCCTCCTGGCCTGGCCCCTGGAGGGGCTGGCGGGGAACCTCTGGCTCCAGGACCTGTATCCAGTGGAGGCTGCCAGGCTGCGAGCCCTGGATGACCGTGATGCTGGGATCCGCCGGCGGCTGCTGCTGCTTCTGTGTGCTGTCTGCCGTGGCTGCCCGGCCCTGGGGCAGCTGGGCCGGGGCCACCTGACCCAGGTGGTCCTGCGTCTGGCAGAGGACAACGTGGACTGGACGGAGGCGGCCTTGGGCGAGCGCTTCCTGCAGGCTCTGGAGCTGCTCATCGGCAGCCTGGAGCAGGCCAGTCTGCCCTGCCACTTCAACCCCAGCGTGAACCTCTTGAGCAGCTTGCGGGAGGAAGAGATTGACGACCTTGGCTATGCGCTGTACAGTGGCCTGCAGGAGCCCGAGGGGCTGCTCTAGGTGGGTGGGAACAGGTGACTGGCATGTTTTCTGATGCTGGGGAGCTGTGCCCACCTCCCTTGCAGGGATTTGAAGAGTTTTTTTTCTAGCTTTCAGCCAGAACAAAAGAGGGTAGCTTACTTAAACCCACGGCACTGGTATGTGCTTGGGCTATGGTAACTGTAAACCCTGAGCCCAGAGAGCTTGGGTCACTGTCACCTGAATGTGGCTGGGCTGCCTCAGGCAGCTTGGAGTGCCAGCCATTCATGAAAGCACCCTTTCAACCCTGGGGGCCAACCGCAGGACCTTGGCTCTGTCCATCACCAGCAACGAATCCACTGATAAAATGTGGATTCTGCCATCCTGGGTAGGGATGAAGGCCAGCTTTCCATTTCTGCTGAGAGAAGGTGACTTCACGCTTTCTCCGGCCCCAGCTCCAGGTGTTTTGAGGCGTCCAGTGCCCCTGGTGGTAGGTATGGTGTGTTCTGTTCCCCAGGGGCTGGAGTCACCTGGTGCCCCTAAAGGACAATTTTTTAGCTGTTAAAGGGTGGTGTTTTCCTGCTCTCTTCTGTGTGTTTAGTTTTCTTGCTGTGTTCTCGAGCCCTGGAGCAGTAGCTCAGTGTCACTTTCCACCCACCTGATAACTCAGGACAAGGGCCCTTTTCCCTCCAACCAGGTGAGTGTTTTCTTCAGGCAGCCGAGGGCCCTGGGGGAGCCCCCTCCTTCCCGGGGGAGTTGAGGCCCTGAGCTGCACTCCCTACCCCACAGCTGGGGCATCCCACTGGAGCTGTTCCAGGCCCCACTGGAGAGGAGGGGACCTGCCTCCCCACCAGAGAGGTCCAGCCCACAGAGCCGGCCTCCCACCGTGCCAAAATCAATTGCTCTCAGCTGATGTCTGTATTCTGACTTTGAAGCCTGTTAGAGGTAAAACGGGGTGCTAGAGGAGGGAGATTCCACCTCCCCTCCCAAGTGACCCTCCTCCTGCCTCTGGTATCCTTCCTGCTGAAACAAAGCTCTGCTTCGAAGATGTGAACAAGAATAAAAAGAAAACATTCTAATGTATGTGTAACTCAGGCTGGATAAGGGGGTCTTGGCGTTTTCATACGCACCTGTTTGGGGTTTTCTGTAAGTTCTGTGGCTTGTCCTGGCACCTTCGCAAGAGCGCTTGAGGTCAATTGGTGGTGGTAGAGTTTACTTAAAAAGTGGCATCTTAGACCAGGCATGGTGGCTTACGCCTGTAATCCCAGCACTTTGAGAGGCCAAGGCGGGTGGATCACCTGAGGTCAGGAGTTCGAGACCAGCCTGACCAACATGGTGAAACCCCGTCTCTACTAAAAATACAAAAATTAGGCTGGGCGCGGTGGCTCACGCCTCTAATCCCAGCACTTTGGGAGGCCAGGCAGGTGGATCACGAGGTCAAGAGATTGAGACCATCCTGGTCAACAAGGTGAAACCCCGTCTCTACTAAAAATACAAAAATTAACTGGGCATGGTGGCGTGTGCCTGTAGTCCCAGCTACTCGGGAGGCTGAGGCAGGAGAATTGCTTGAACCCAGAAGGCGGAGGTTGCGGTGAGCCAAGATCGTGCCATTGCACTCCAGTCTGGGTAACAACAGCGAAACTCCGTCTCAAAAAAAAAAAAAAAAAAACAAAAATTAGCTGGGCATGGTGGTGTGCACCTGTAATCCCAGCTACTTAGGGGGCTGAGGCAGGAGAATTGCTTGAACCCAGGAGGTGGAGGTTGCAGTGAGCTGAGATCACGCCACTGCACTCCAGCCTGGGTGACTATTTTGGAGGCTGGAAATCCAAGAGTGAGACATGTCTGGTGAGGGGCCACATCCTGGTTCATAGGTGTCCCCATCTAGCTGTCCTCATGTGGAGGAAGCGGAGACATCCTCTCCTAGGGTCTCTTGTAAGGGCACTGAACCTACCCATGGTGGGGGTCCACACTCATGATCCAATCACTTCCCAGAGGCCCCATCTCCTGTTAGTGCCTTGAGGGTTAGGATTTCAGCATACAAGTTTTAGGGGAACACAACCTTTTTTTTTTTGAGATGGAGTTTCGCTCTTGCCCAGGCTGGAGTACAGTGATTTGGTCTCAGCTCACTACAACCTCCACCTCCCAGATTTAAGTGATTCTCCTGTCTCAGCTTCCAAGTAGCTGGGATTACAGGTGTCCGCCACCACGACCGGCTAATTTTTGTATTTTCAGTAGAGATGGTTTCACCATGTTGGCCAGGCTGGTCTAAAACTCCTGACCTCATGATCTACCCGTCTCAGCCTCCCAAAGTGCTGGGATTACAGGTGTGAGCCACTGCGCCCAGCTGAGGGGCACAAACTTTCTGTCCATGACAAGTAGGGTACGTGGAAGGAAAATTTGAAAAGCTTGGTGTTGCTTTAGTAATGGGAACCAGCCAGTTTGGGCTGTTTCTTCCCAAAAGGCTGAACTGCCAAGCCCTGAACCCTATTTTCTGGAATTGGTGGGCTGTTCACGGCCCTTCAGCCATGCCCATCAGTTTTTAGAAACCTGTGTTCTCTACCTCCCTTGCTCCTCTCTGTGGCTCCACAAGTGGGGAGGAAACTTGCCCCACCTTGTGCAGGTGAGAGGCCAGGGCATCTTAACCCCCACAACCCTGAAGAACCAAAGCCAAGGCTCACTTCCTATTACCAGATGACAGATGTGGCCCGGGGAGGGCTCTGGACCATGGTGCAGGGCTGCTTCCAGCCAAGCTGTGCCACTTGCATCCTGCTGGTCCTTCCTGAGGGGACTCACCTACCCCTTCCAGCTGTGACTGCAGGACCCAAGGGAGGCAGGAGCATGCAGAGCAAAAGGGATGGTGGTGTAGGCCTCTGGGTGTTGGGAACAGGGCAAGGGGCGGGCATGAGGGCTCCTTGTAGAAGATGATATAAGGGTCCAAGATGGGAGACATGGCTGAGGTCCATTCCAATCACTTGATGCTGGAGAGCTTTGAGCAGTTTCCCTGGTGGTGGAGGGAGAGCACAGGACCAGCCTGGGGCAGAGCCTGTGCCTCAGTCCTCTCATCTCTTACATCTCTTAACTGGGTGGGGGTCATGCAATACTTACTCCCAGGTGCTTGTGAGGATTAATGAGTGGGCAGTGCTAACAATGTCTAGGAACAAGGACTGGTGGGCCTAGCTGTGCCTCACCCTCCAGCTACACTCCAAGCACCAGCATGGCAAGGCACTCCCAGCTGCCAGGCCAGTCCCTGTTTGGAGTGCAGCTGTCTCTAGTCACTCTACTTAGACAACCAGACCCCAACACAAGCTGGATGTGGGCCAATCTGTAGAGGTCACTTGCTTCAGGTAGCTCTAAATTTCCCTTCTCATACTATAGCTTTTTTTTTTTTTTTTTTTTTTTTTTTTTATGTCCAGGATGAGTTAAGAGGGAGAGAAATGTTCATGGTTTCATTACCTAGCTAGGGTGAATGTCTGGGTCTTCTGTTTCTAGACAGAGAACAGGAAACAAGTCACTGTCTTGCTAGGAGCTCTGCATGACCTCTTGCCCTGGGCTGTCCCAGCTGATGGGCGGTGGAATCCCACCCACTCCCCTCCCCACAATGCAAGGACAGCCCCAGCCCCGCCGGCCTGGGAGCGAGGTGTGGGCTTGCCCAGGCTTTGGTGTCTTAACACTCAGAACCTTTGGCTGATGTGACTCAAATTTCTTGTTTTACCTTCACCAAGTGACCCAGAGCCAGGAGCCTTGTTGACTGCAGTAAGGCAGTGACTACCCCTGCTTAGAATGCAAGGATTGCTAGGGAAGATTTTAGAAAAAAGACTCCAAAAATGGAGAATCTAAATGTATTTCTTTGAAAATGTCACCCATAGATCCTCTACCCCAACTCAACAATAAATTTCACCAAATAGCATTTCCTTTGTGTAAATCCACTCGTACCCACTTCTTTTCAGGAATACTTAGCTGTGGGATTGTCCTCAAAGGGGGACCATTTATTCCTGTAGAGCTGACCTGTTCAGCTCATTTCCATCTCTGCTGCTAAATTTAAAAAAGCAAACAAAAAAACAGGCTGCGTATGGTGGCTCATGTTTCTAATCGCAGCATTTTGGAGGTTGAAGCGGGAGGACTGCTTGAGGCCACAGGTTTGAGACTAGCCTGGGCAACATGACCAGACCTCCTCTCTACAAAAACTAATTAGCCAAGTGTGGTGTACACTTATGGGCCTAGCTACTCAGAAGGCTGAGGTGGGAGGATGGCTTGAGTCCAGGAGGGTGAGGCTGCAGTGAGCCATGATTACGCCTGGGATTACAGGCTGGTCTCAAACTCCCGGCTTCAAGCAATCCTCCCAGCTCAGCCTCCCTAAGTAGTACTGGGATTACAGGTGTGAGCCACTGTATCTAGCCAACATTTGCTTTTTTTTTTTGAAATGGAGTCTTGCTCTGTCACTCAGGCTGGAGTACAGTGGCCCAATCTCTGTTCACTACAACCTCCACCTCCCTGCTTCAAGCAATTCTCCTGTCTCAGTCTCCTGAGTAGCTGGGATTGTTAGGTGTGCACCACCACGCTTGGCTAATTTTTGTATTTTTACTAGTGACGGTTTAACCTATGTTGCCTGGGCTGGTCTCGAACCCTTGACCTCAAATGATCTGCCCACCTCAGCCCTCGGAAGTGTTGGGATTATAGGTGTGAGCCACTGTGCCTGGTCAACATATGTATTTAAATCTTAATTCCTTGAGAAAGCTAAGGCTGTAGTGGACAAAACCCACATGTGTTCCAAAGACAAACACCAGTGACTCTGGTGACCTGCACTGGGTCATCTCTGCCCTGCTTGCCAAATTCCTAAGACAATGAGACCAGTTAGTTCAGCAGGCAGGGAGGCCACTGGGCTTGCCTGCATGGGTTTCAGAAGGAACCTTCCACGTTCAGACTGCAGGCCAGACCCTGACTATATTCACGTTCTCCAGAGGGACAGAACCAATAGGCTGTATGGATTAGTAGAAAGGAAGTTAACTGGGGAGAACTGGCTTATAGGATTACAAGGTGAAGTCCAGAATAGGCTGCAAGCTGTGGAGAGAAGGAGAGAAGCCAGTAGCATGGCTCAGTCTAAGTCCAAAAGCCTCAAAACCAGGAAGGCCCAGAGTGCAGCCTTCAGTCTGTGGCTGAAGGCTCCAGGAAGCAGCTGGTTCAAGCCTCCGAGTCCAAAGGTTGAAGAACCTGGAGTCTGATGTCCAACAGCGGGGAAGAGGAAGCAAACATCTGGCATAGGAAGAGACTCAGCAAGCTGCCCATTCCCCTTCCACCTGCTTTGTTCTAGCCATGCTGGCAGCTGATTTTGATGGTGCCCACCCACATTGAGGGTAGGTCTTCCTCAGTACACTAACTCATGTCAGTCTCCTCTAGCAACACACTTACACCCAGAAACAATACCAGCCATCTGGGCGTCCCTGTGTGAACTGGTAGTCTAAGGTGGGGATGACCTGGTGAACATAGTGAACTGGGGTGCCCCAGTCCAAGAAACTTGGAGATCCAGCTTGTGAACATCCCAAGTCCTCGGCTAGATTCTAGAAGAGGCAGGTGGTGAATTCATCCCAAAGGGCAGTGGGGGCTCTGCCCATTGTCTCAAAAACCAGTGCCAATGCTGCTGTTTGTGTCCCCATAAGACTGGCTCTGGGGGTGGGGGTACTGGATGGTGGTGACAGGGCTTTTTTTTTTGTTGAGATAGTCTCCCTCTGTTGCCCAGGCTGGAGTGTAGTGGGGTAGTCTGGGCTCACTGTAACCTCTGCCTCCTAGGTTCAAGTGATTCTCTGCCTCAGCCTCCTGAGTAGCTGGGATTATAGGCACCCAGCTAATTTTTGTATTTCTAGCAGAGACGGGGGTTTCACCACATTGTCCAGGTTCATCTTGAACGCCTGACCTTGTAATTTGCCCACTTCGGCCTCCCAAAGTGCTGGCATTACAGGTGTGAGTCACCATGCCTGGCTGACAGGGCTTATCTTTAATTCTGGATGCTCTAAGTATCCGGGGTGGGATTGGGCAGAGACTCTTCAACCACTACCAATTGTGTGGGCTGGTCTTGTTTCCTCTGCTCTCAGTGCAGTCACCTGGGGAAGCACATGCAGCATGTCAGCCAGGCTTCTTCACCAGGAGATGGCAGGGAAGCCTTCAGTTACCCCATGGGCTCTCAGCCTTGGTGTGGAGAGCAAGTAGGGCTTTTTACAAACTCTGATGGGGTTGGAGGGGACATGGCATCAGAGACTAGGTTTCAAGGCCAGGATAGCTGCTTGGTAGGGGAAGACACTTAACCCAGCAAAACCATGGTTCCTGCACAAAACAGACAGTAGATACTGTTTGGCTGGCAGTCAGGAGGTTGAAACCACTGTGTGACATCCTGGCCAGTGCCTAGTTTCTGCTAGATCCAGCAAGGTGGGGGGAGGGTGGTCATTTTCTTTTCTTTTTTTTGAGACAGTTTCGCTGTTGTTACCCAGACTGGAGTGCAATGGCACGATCTTGGCTCACCGCAGCCTCTGCCTCCTGGGTTCAAGCAATTCTCCTGCCTCAGCCTCCTGAGTAGCTGGGACTACAGGCGCGCACCACCATGCCCAGCTAATTTTTGTATTTTTAGTAGAGACAGGGTTTCACCTTGTTGACCAGATGGTCTTGATCTCTTGACTTCGTGATCCACCCGCCTCGGCCTCCCAAAGTGCTGGGATTATAGGCGTCAGCCACCGCGCCCGGCCCATTTTCTTCTCAGTTTTGCATTGCACAAGCTGCTGATGTGGCTCAACACAGGGACAAACCCTTCCAGTCAATGTCAATGGGGTGGGATGTGCTGCATGCTGCTAATCTGAGTGGGCCATCAAGAGACTTCGAAATTCCAACAGGTTTGATTTGTGAAACTTTAATTTGCAGTTGTACCTGACTGCAAGCCTTCACCAGAGAACCTCAATATAAACAAGGATACCCCATTATGGATGAGGCAACTGGGGCTCCAGGGATGAGGGCACACACCAAGGGTGGCAGAGCAAGCCAGGAAGCAGGAGCTGAGCCTGGGTCTGATCTCAGATGCCCAGCCCAGTTCATGGTGCAGCCAAATCCTGCAGTTTGGTTTTGAGAAACACAGGAGTTGCCTGCAGAGAGACACAAAAACCACGAAGGGCATCTGGTATCCAGAAACTATGAAGAACTCCTACAACTCAACGAAGACAACCGATTTAAAAATGGGTGAAGAAACTAGGCGCAGTGGCTCATGCCTATAATCCCAGCACTTTGGGAGGACAAGGCAGGTGGATCACCTGAGGTCAGGAGTTCTAGACCAGCCTGGCCAACATGGTAAAACTCCATCTCTACTAAAAGTACAAATTAGCTCAGTGTGGTGGTGGATGTCTGTAATCCCAACTACTTGAGAGGCTGATGCAAGAGAACTCTTGAACCCAGGAGGCAGAGGTTGCAGTGAGCTGAGGTTGCACCACTGCACTCCAGCCTGGGCAACAAGAGCAAAACTCCATCTCAAAAAATAAAAAATAAAAAAAATGGGTGAAGAACTTAAATAGACATTCTCCAAAGAATGTACACCAACAGCCAGTAAGTAAGCCTGTGGAAAGATGGTCAATGTCATTAGTGACTAGGAAAATGCAAATCAAAACCACAATGAGATGTCACTCCATACACTAGGATGACAATACACTAGGATGTCATCCTAGTGTATGGAGTGGCATCTCATTGTATAATAAAAAAAAAATGTGTTCACAGGATGTGGAGAAGCACGACCTCTGGTGCGCTGTTTGGTGGGTGTAAAATGGTGCATCCACTGTGGAAAAGTTTGGCAGTTCCTCAAAAAGTTAAAACATGGTATGAACCTACAATTCCATTGCTAGGCATATGCCCAAAATAACTGAAAATGGGTCAGACACCCATACACCAATGTTCACACAGTGCTATTCACAATAGTCAAAAGGTGGAAACCACCCAAATGTCCATCAACTGACAAATGGATAAATATGTGGCATATTCATACAGTGGACTAACAGCAATAAACATCAAGGACTGACACATGCTACAATGTGGATGAGCCAAGTCAAACCAGACACAGGAGGTCATGTAAGGTTAAGATTACTTTTTTTTTTTTTTGGAGATGGAGTCTTGCTCTGTTGCCCAGGCTGGAGTGCAATGGCGTGATCTTGGCACACTGCAACCTCCGCCTCAGCCTCCCAAGTAGCTGGGACTACAGGTGCATACCATCACGCCCAGCTAATTTTTTGTATTTTAGTAGAGACAGCGTTTCACTGTGTTTGCCCAGGCTGGTCTTGAACTCCTGAGCTGAGGCAATCTGACCACCCTGGCCTCCCAAAGTACTGGGATGAGCACCTGCACCCAGCCTGGATTCTTTATTAAGGCAATGAATTCTGGGTGTCCTGGCTTAACTGGAGAGACAATGAAGCTTATTCTGCAGAATCAATGTTACCACAGCCACCTCCTTGCATTACACCATGCTCCTCAGAACATCTATGGAGAGAAGCCCGGGGCAGCCTGGATAGGGCCTGCTTCATGAGTGCTGGCTGCTCACTTGGGGCTTTCTGGAGGTGAAGGAAGCAGCCCTGGGAGCTTCTTGCTTGGCCACTCAGTGGGCTTCAGCTGGGACTGCACCAGTTCTCTGCTAACAGCAACCATCCTTGGGGAGTTTGAGGGAGCAGCTGTGTGACTTTTCAGCAGTGGCTGGGCAGAGAGCCACTGTCCAGCAGAGCTGACCTGCTCCAGAGTGGTCTGGACCTTGTGCTCCTTAACACAGGAAGGCCCAACTCCAAAGGCCAACAGTGTTCTCCAAGTTTCCAGGACACTGAATGGCCACTTGGTCCTGATTAACTCATTCCCCAACACAAAGGGGACAGGTCTGAGAAAGTGGTGTGCTCTACCCTACCCTGCCCTCATCTGTTCTGAGGACAAAAGGGACGGGTGTGTCCAGGCTGGTGGCAAAGGCTGCATTTCCGGGGTTTCTTTGCTGTGGATACCATGTCTGAGGAACTGGCCCGGGGCCTTTTGCTTCTGGCCTCCAACCCTAGGGTTCCTCCTCCGCCTCTTTTCCAGGGCAGGGCTCCAGAAGTCCCTGTGGGGAGAGTCGGGGGAGGGCTGAGGTTAGAACTGACATGCAGAAGTAGCAAGTCCCAAACATGGTGACTCATGCCTATAATCCCGGCACTTTAGGAAGACGAGGCAGGAGGACTGCTTGAGCCGAGTTCAAAACAAGCTTGGGCAACATGGCAAAACCCCATCTTTAAAAAAATACAAACATCAGCCACATGGCTCGGCATAGTAGCTCATGCCTATAATCCCAGCACTTTGGGAGGCCGAGGCAGAGGTGGGTGGATCACGATGTCAGGAGTTTGAGACCAGCCCGACCAATATGGCGAAACCCTGTCTCTACTAAAAATATAAAAGTTAGCTGGGTGTAGAGGCACACACCTATAATCAGCTATTCAGGAGGCTGAGGCAGGAGAATCACTTGAACCCGGAGGTGGAGGTTACAGTGAGCAGAGACAGTGCCACTGCACTCTAGCCTGGGTGACAGAGTAAGACTAAAAATTAGCCAGGTGTGGTGGTGCATGCCTGTGGTCATAACCACTCGGGAGACTGAGGCAGGAGGATGCCTGAACCTGGGAGGCTGCAGTGAAACGTGATCACAGCACTGCACTCCAGCCTGAGCAACAGAGCGAGATGTTGTCTCAAAAAAAAAAAAAAAAAGAGGCCGGTCGTGGTGGCTCATGCCTGTAATCCAAGCACTTTGGAGGCCAAGGCGGGAGGATCACCTGAGGTCAGGAGTTCAAGACCAGCCTGACCGACAAGGTGAAACCCTGTCTTAAAAAAAAAAAAAGAAAAAAGAAAAGTAGCAGCAGATAATATGGCTAAATTGACTTTTACACAGCCATGTATAACCCACCAGCCAGCTTCCCTTCATACTATGTCCAACTCTGTAAGGTGGAGGTGTGATGTGCCTGCTGCCTTATGTTACCTGACACCTCTCCCTCAAGAATCCTAAGCTCTTGGAGACATCGTCCAACACTCACTTGGTAAGTGGACACTGGCATCACTTTGTGCTGGCCCTTTTTATAGAGGCAGAAACCCAAGCAAGCTGGCCTGTGGTAGGGTGGGAAAGACAAGCAGCATGTGACCAGTGACCAGCAACCTGTGACCCACCTCCAAGCAGCAAAGTCCAGCTTTGGATCCCTCCTGTCCCTCAACAGGTCTTTCCAGATCAGGTGCCCATTCACCCAGGCCAGTCCGTCAGCCAGCCTGCGGGTCACACACCATGTCCTTCCAAGTGGCGAGACAAGAGGCCAGACTGCATCTCACTTCAAGTGTGGGTCTGTCACTCCAGTGACCATCTCTGGGCCCCACTGGCACTCGTAGCCAGCTCCAAGTCCCAGTTTTTACCAGGCTGCTGGGTTCTTTCTGCGCATGCCAGGCTAATAACATGTACGTAAGATCATAATCAGACTATACTCCTTTCTAAAACAGGAACCCTAAGAATGTAGGCAGGGACCATCTTGTTGAGCAAACTGAGGCAGAGAGGTAACTGAGCTTCGGAACTAGATTTACACAACTCCAAAGCTCCCACTAGGCCTTTGGGTCATTCTCAGCTATTTAAGCTCTGCTGTACACTGAAGCAGCAGGAACCATCAAAGTGCCTCCACGTACGCCATCCACCTTGATGTAATGTCTAGGTGCCACTTCTAATGACACTCAGTCCTGGACACTGGGCCAAGCAGTGTCACCCTGGGCAGATTCCTAAATATCATCAGGGTTGGCATCTTCAGCTAAAGAAATTAGGCTGATGCTCATGGTCTGGCAAGGGTCATGATGGCTGCAAGGGGCACACGGCTGTGTGACTGGGAAGGCCTATGTCCTCATCCTGGGGTCTGTTGCTATGTGATGCTGAGCAATGCCCACTTCATGTGTCTGCGTCTCACCTTTCTCACTTATAAGTGAAACTGTGATCACAATGCTTTCCTGATGAGGATGGAAGAAGCATAGGAAGTATACTTAGCCTAGTAATAGGCACAGGGCAAGTGATGTCGTTACCTGTAACCACCCTTCAATTTGGAAGAGGACTGTGCAATTATCACCTTGCTGAAAGTGATCAAATGAGGAAACGGAGGTGAAGGCAGCCCAATCCAATCCCACTATGACCCTGCCTTGCCTTATTTCTGCTGTCCCCAGTCTGAGGTAGAGACACTGTGAAAACCCAAGGAAGTGATTCATAAGCCCCTCCCTGCCTCACCTGGAGCCATGTTCTCATCGACCCACTGGAAGAAGCCGCACTGCTGTTCTCTCGGCTTGGCACATGTGTGGAACTGGCGCCCCTTATTGGGCCCATCCTTCTGCACAGTCCGTTTGACGGTGGGCTGGCTACACAGGCAGGATGTGCCATTACCACTGCCAACACCAGGGTTGCCAAACCCACCCAGGTGGGTCCCTGGGCCTGGTGGGCATCCCAGGGAGCCACCTAGGGGTCTATATGCTGAGGTGGGCAGTCCTCCTGCTCCCAAATTGGGGCTATCTGCCCATAGGAAGAAGTTGCAGCTACCCGTGTTGCACTTAAAGAATTGCCGGCCTTGGTTGGGACCCTCCTTACGGACAGTGAGCAGCACAGCCTCCTGGCCACAGTTGCAGGTCACCGAGTTGCTTTCACCAGCAGCCGTGGGTGGTGGGAGGGTCCAGGCCAGAGCCTTTGAGGGCCCAGTCTGTCTGCCGTCAGCAGGCTGGGGGTGGTGGCTGCTGTCCATCCTGTTCAGGTACTGGCTGGCCTGCAGGCGGCCAGAGGGCTGGCTAGCCCTTGGGGGGCCCTGTGAAAATCTCAGGTCCAGGATCTCCCTCAGGGTCTCGTCACATCCTCCGATGCAGCAAACAAACTCCAGGGGCATGGTCGGGGGAAGGCTACCACGCTTAAACTTTAACTTCAACCTAGTAAGGCCAGAAGATGAGAAAAAACATTAACAAAAAGGTGCCAGCTTTTTTTTCCTTAGTCCACTGAGGGCTGCTTTAGTCCTAGGCCTCTCTCCACCACTCCTTATGTATCAGGAAGCCCACGCAGGGCCCTGTGAAGCCCTCAATCAGCCCACCACAAGGCCCCATCAGTCATCACAGGAGTGGACAGTGGGAAGCAGTGCAGATGAAATCTAAGATCCCAGTAATTCATCAAAATAAAAACACCTCTGGAAAGTTCCATGTCTCTATACCAGCAGTTCTCCAAGTGTGGTTCTGGGGTGCCTGAGCCCTTTCAAGAAGAGGGCAAAACTATTTTATAGTAATTCTAAGAGGTTATGTCTATTTTGCTCTTATTCTTCTGTGTGTACACAATGGAGTTTTCCAGAGCTTCTAAAACACACAATGACTCAGCAGACTGACTGCAGAAGCAAATATGGGAATCCAGCTCTATTCTATTAAGCCAGACATGCAAATTGCAAAATGTAAAAAACAATGTCATTCATGTCATTATTATTATTTTGCTTTGGAAAACAGGTATTTTATCACCCTAAAAACCATGTTATTTACAGTAGTATGCAATGCATTTACTAGAAATAGATTAATATTTTAAAAGATGTTTTTACTTTAATTTCACATGTGGTATATACTGATAAACCACCCAGAACAAAAGCTCTCTTGGCTCCTCAGTGATCCTTCAGAGTGTTACGGGTCCAGTGACCAAGAGGTTTGAGAACCACTGTACTGCACTAGGGCTGTGGGCTTTCTGGAGGAACTTAAATAATATATTTCTTTGCCCATGGCCCACTCCAAACTGGGTCATACCCGCCAAAGCAGTGACAGCATGGAACACAACAGAACCGGACCAGGCCTGCTGACCTGACTGCTGCAGAACACAGCTACACCCCTGCAGAGCCTGAGTGTAATCCCTTACACTCCCCTCTGGGTTCTGGCAGGAGCAAGGGAAAAATGGGCACCGTGGTGTGCACACTCCAGAGGAGGTGCCTGACTCAGGCGCCCAGCTCACCTGTACACAGGGTGTGGCTGACAAACTGGACACACACTGCCATCCCTGCTGGCCTCCAGCACCGAGTCAGGAAACCATATGGCTGAGCGACACTCTGGGAAACCCGTGCAGCTGAGGTAGAGCCTGGGGACAAGGTGCCATGTCAGGTGGTAGCAGTGCAGGAGGCACTCTCAGGCTCTCAGCCGTTGGCCATCGGCCGAGACAGCCTTTCCTCAGATGACTGAGGACAACATTCCCTTTTCTGGAGGACAGTTAACTGGAGATACAAGCACTGATATTTAATTGATTGAGAAAAATGAGCCTTCTCACAACCCGAAAGCACAAAGCAGCTATTGCTGACCCTGCTTTCTACTTAGAAAACCAACAACCAACCAAGGTGACGCCAGGGGCCCTGTGCTGTGCACTCACACATTCTTGCCTTTCTGCCTCGTGCCAAGTCTGTGCAGTGTCAGGGGCCCCCTCAGTTTGCATGTGAGTAAGTGGTGGCTTGGTGTGGGCTGGAAACCTGCCCAGAGATGTGCATGCATGGGGGTATGGGAGCTAGAAATGGAAACCCATCTGTTTGTGACAGAGCCTCACCTGCAACATCTACACCCCACCCACTGCCCATCCACCCCATCCCTGTCTCTCCTGGCCCATGTTTTTCAACACCTTGCAGCCATGAAACATTAGGGTTTGACTAGCCAATGTGCATTTGATTTACCAATTCCTTTGAGTATGCCTGGGTACACTACAAAGAAAAAAAAACCCCAAACTTCAATCATTTAAATAAGAAATTTACAATCTCAGAAATGGAAATTATCAGATAAACCCTGGAGTGGCAAATCCCATAAAATAATCTGACCTTCTGGAGTAACTCAAAGAAGCATTACAAGAGAATAACAGAATAACAAAATAACAAAAGAATAACAAAGAAATAATAGTAATTCTCCAATACAGTGCTAAAACAAAAGTAAGTATTCTCTCTCCTTATATTCCAGTGAGTACTAATCCAAAAACCTGCTGGTGGCAAGGAAAACCCATCAACAGCATTTATTAAGTGCTTAAATACATGCCCAGGTATTGGGCTAGGCCTAGAGTGGGTCTGGCTTCTGTCTGTGAGTGACAAGAGCCCTGACACCTGCTTCCAGGTCTGGTCCAAAGACCGCTTGTTTCTGAGAGCTGGTGGCTTTCTCTTCACTGGGGCCAGCTGGGTTACTGATGGCTGGAGGTTAGGAGGAGTGGAGAAACCTTTCTCATTTAGCAGCAAGGAGCACAGCAGCCCCAGGTGGGCCAGGCAGGATGGAGAAAGGCAGTCAAAACCTGGTTTCAAACTATGCCTTTGCTGCCCACTGTGAAACGGGCTGCTTGACTTCAAGCAGGAACCTCTACCCTCTAAGCTGCATAGAAATCCCTGCCTTGCAGGGTGATTACAAGAATGGGATGAGGTTAAAAAAAAAAGAGAATGGGATGAGATGTTTACAGAGCACCACCAGGCATCATGCCAGTAAGGAATGGCAGCTGATGAATGATGGCTGCCACCCCTCCAGCACACCTTTCCCCGTGAACTTCCTCAGTGGCCAGCCACCGGCTTGAACAACCTGATCTGAGGCTAAATTTCCCATTCAGGTCAACTATACTTAAAGCAAAAGGGAGTTAAGATTTTCAGGCCCAATTCAGAACTTTTCTTAGAGAAGAAAAGTAGAATCTGCTGAGTAACTACAACACGTCAGGCAATGCGGTATACAGTCCTGACCATTTTCACCAAATCCTTATCCTTAACACAGCCTTGTGAGTACTGACCTTATTTTATGAAAAAAGAAATTGGGGCTCAGAGCAGGTTAGGAACTTGCTTCAGGCCACACCACTTATATGTGGCAGAAGTGGCATTTGAACCCAGACCCACCTAGATCTGAAGCCCATGCTCCTCCATGTGTTACACATTAGGTATATGATGTCCTATCTACAGGGGACAAAAAAAACCCCATAATCACTCAGTTCCCCACCTGCTCTAAATTCCAACAATGCTTTACACCTCAAAGGCCTGATCCCACCCAGGTATCCTTCTAGGCCAACACCTTGCCTGCAGGTTGGCAACCACAGGCCTGTCCTGAAAGATTCCATGTAAGTGAGATGGCAGGGCCTTTTAGAGCTGTGGCTGACACCGCAGGTGCTGGAGAGCAGAGGTGAAGGCAGAAGGCAGAGCACTGACCCGCCGTTCTTCTTGGTTTTGAGGACCATGTCCTTGTTGCACTGTGGGCACTTCCTGATAGGCTCTGGCATGGCTGGGTAGATGTCTTCTTGCTGGGCCACCTCTGTCCCATTCCCAAAGTACTGGGCCAAGGCCTCGTCCAATCTGAAGAGAAGGCAAAGGTAGACACCCATCAGCCTGCAATTGCTGCAAAGGCACCTACAACACTCTTATGTACACACAACAGGCGTGACCGTGGGAACCAGCTGGTCAGTGAGCTGCAGGCCTCCTGCAGAGAACAGACGGCAGGCAGAGAAGACTGAGCTCATCATGGGCCCTGGTGCCTAACCAACTCCGAGGAGGAGAGTCCAGATACAGGCAGATGCTTCTGCCTTGTCACCAGCCCCACATTAAAAAATAAAATTGGGCTGGGTGCGGTGGCTCATGCCTGTACTCCCAGCACTTTGGGAGGCTGAGGCCAGCAGATCACCTGAGGTTGGAAGTTGGAGACAAGCCTGACCAAAATGGAGAAACCCCATCTCTACTAAAAATACAAAATTTAGCCGGGCATGGTGGGGAATGCCTGTTCCCAGCTACTTGGGAGGCTGTGGCAGAATTGCTTGAACCTGGGAGGCAGAGGTTGAGATGAGCCAAGATCATGCCATTGTGCTCTAGCCTGGGCAACAAGAGCGAAACTCCCATCTCAAAAAAGAAAAAAAGAAAAACTAAAACTGCACAGGGTCCATGCACAAACTCTAGGCATATCTGTCTGCATTAAGTTTAAACTAGCTTGGCGGGCGTAGTAACTCTGGGAGGCAAAGGTGGGAAGATCTTTTGAGGTTAGGAGTTCAAGACTAGCCTGGGCAACACAGTAAGTAAGTGAGACCCCATCTCTATTTCTTTCTTTTCTCTTTCTTTCTTTTTTTCTTTTTTTTTTTAGAGATGGAGTCTTCTCTGTCACCTAGGCTGGAATACAATAGCATCATCTCGGCTCACTGCAACCTCCGCATCCCAGGTTCAAGCGATTCTCCTGCCTCAGGCTCCTGAGTAGTGAGGACTACAGGCACATGCTACCACACCCAGCTAATTTTTTGTATTTTTAGTAGAGACGGGGTTTCACTGTGTTAGTCAGTATGGTCTTGATCTCCTGACCTTGTGATTTGCCCACATCAGCCTCCCAAAGTGCTAGGATTACAAGTTTGAGCCACCACGCCCCGCCACCCATTTCTATTTCTTTTAAGCACTCACTTCTTTGCTTTAGCCACTGCTTCAATGAAAACCTGCTTGTATTTTTGCACTTGCTGCCTTAGAACCACAAATTTGTCCTTCTTGCCCTCACAGATCAGCTTCAGATCAGCTTCCAGTTCAGCCCGGAGGTCAGGCTTAGACATCTCATAGCCCATGGAATCATAGCCTGCAGGGAAAAAGAGTTGTGCTCAGTAAGGACCCACCTGAGACCCTCAGGGACTTGGGTGACACCACCCATTACCCACTGCAAGCTCCCTCCTCCCTTACCTTCCACAAGTCCCATGCCCAGGTGCCCAGGGAGGAACCGCTTGTCTGGGGTGAGCCCCACGTACATCCGGGCTTTGATGGTCTCGATATGCTCTGCGTGAGTGGCATCCGTACCTGGAAACCATTTTCTGGTTATTCTGAGGTAATACAAACAACAGGGGTTCATGGGCACCTTGCTCACCCCAGAACCCCTCCTTCGCCTGGACAGCCCATATGGCTCATTCAAGAAATCACAATGGCAACCTCAACTCTCTTGCTCCCTCACATCCCATTTCTCATGAAAGCTGTCAATTCCAGCTTGAAAGCTCCTTTTTAAAATCTTCCTCCCCATGTGTCCAAGCCATAGCTGCAGCTTGTATCCCTGTTTCTAGTCTCTTCCTCGACCCAAACCATTCTTTAAGCTGTGGCCAGCGGGACCTTTCAAAATGTAGCTCTGCCATGAAGGAAATACAAATTAAAATCACAGTGAAGGCTGGGCGCAGTGACTCATGTCTGTAATCCCAACACTTTGGGAGGCCAAGGCGGGCGGATCACCTGAGGTCAGAGTTTAAGACCAGCATGGTCAACAAGGCGAAACCCTGTCTCTATCAAAAATACAAAAATTAGCCGAGTGTGGCGGTGTGTGCCTGTAGTCCCAGCTACTCAGGAGGCTGAGGCAGGAGGACTGCTTGAACCTGGGAGGCAGAGGCTGCAGTGAGCTGAGATCACACCACTGCACTCCAGCCTGAGTGACCAAGTGAGACTCCATCTTTAAAAAAAAAAACCAAAAACCACACGCAGTGAAACAGCAGTTCATACCTACCAGCAAAGTAAAAAAAAGAGATGATAGTAAGTGTTAGTAAGGATGTGAAGAAACTGGAATCTCCATATGTGCCTTGCTGGTGGGAATGAAAAATGGTGCAACCCCTTCAGAAACGTTTGGTGGTTCCTAAAAATGTTAAATGTAGAGATACCATGTAAACCAGCAATCCCACTGCTAAGTCCACCCAAGAGAAAGGAAAACACATATCCACACAAAACTTGTACAAAACTGTTCAGAGCAGCATTATTTATAGTCAAAGAGTAGAAACAACTCAAGTGTCCATCAACTAGAAAGTAGAAAAAGATGGCCGGACGCGGTGGCTCACGCCTATAATCACAGCACTTTGGGAGGCTGAGGTGGGTGGATCATGAGGTCAAGAGATCGAGACCATCCTGGTCAACATGGTGAAACCCCATCTCTACTAAAAATACAAAAATTAGCTGGGCATAGTGGTGCACGCCTGTAGTCCCAGCTACTCGGGAGGCTGAGGCAGGAGAACTGCTTGAACCCAGGAGGTGGAGGTTGCGGTGAGCCGAGATCGTGCCATTGCACTCCAGTCTGGCTAACAACAGTGAAACTCCGTCTCAAAAAAAGAAAGTAGAAAAAGACAATGTCTATATATACAATGGAATAGTATTTGGTAACACAAGGAAATGAAGTTCTGACATGTGCTACAACATAGATGAAGCTTGAAGACATCGTCCTAAGCAAAAGTTAGTTACAAAAGGCCAAACATTATATGATTCTCTTTTCTTATTTATTTTTGAGACAGAGTCTTGCTCTGTTGCTCAGGCTAGGGTGCAATGGTATAATCTCAGTTCACTGCAACCTTCACCTTCTGGGTTCTCCTGCCTCAGCCTCCTGAGTAGCTGGGAGTACAGGAGCCTGCCACCAAGTCCGGCTAATTTTTATAGTTTTAGTAGAGAGAGAGTGTTTCACCAAGTTGGTGAAGCTGGGCTGGAACTCCTGACCTCAAGTGATCCGCCCACCTTGGCCTTCCAATGTGCTGGGATTACAGGTGTGAGCCACTATTCCTAGCTTTTTATAGGAAGTATCTAAAGTAGGCGAATCTGGCCAGGTGCACCAGCTCACTCCTGTAATTCCAACACTTTGAGAGGTTGAGGTAGGAGGATGGCTTGAGGCTGCAGGTTCAAGACCAGACTAGGAAACATAGGAAGACCTTGTCCCTACATAAAACAAAGATGGTTGGCTGGGTATGGTGGCTTATGCCTTTAATTCTTGCACTTTGGGAGACCGAGGTGGGTGGATCATTGGAGGTCAGAGGAGTTCAAGATCAGCTTAGCTAACATAGTGAAACCCCATCTCTACTAAAAATACAAATATTAGCCGGTGACATGCACCTGTAGTCCCAGCTACTCAGGAGCCTGGGGAAGAATTGCTTGAACCTGGGAGGTAGAGGCTGCAGTGAACCGAGATCATGCCACTGCACTCCAGCCTGGGTGACAGAGTGAGACTGTCTAAAAATAAAAGCCAAAAAAAAAAAAATTACCTGGGCATGGCAACACGTGCCTGTAGTCCCAGCTACTGGGGAGGCTGAGGTGGAAGGATCCCTTGAAACCAGGAGTTCACAGCTGTGACCTAGCCTGGGTGACAGAGTAAGATCCTGTCTCTCTAAAAAAAATTTAGGGGCCAGGTGTGGTGGCTTATGCCTGCAATCTTAGCACTTTGGGAGGCTGAGGTGGGCAGATCACCTGAGGTCAGGAATTCGAGACCAGTCAGACCAATGTGGAGAAACACCATCTCTACTAAAAATACAAAATTAGCTGGCCTTGGTGGCACTTGCCTGTAATCCCAACTACTTGGGAGGCTGATGAAAAAGAATTGCTTGAACGCGGGAGGCAGAGGTTGTAGTGAACCAAGATTGTGCCATTGCAAGCAAAATTTTTTTTAGTTAAAGAAAAGGCAAATCTATTAAAGTCAGAAAAATGAGTGGTTGCCTAGGGCTGGGAGGATTAGAGGGAGAGAGAAATGGGGAGTGACTGCTAAAGGGTATGGGATTTCTTTCTGAGGTGGTGAAAATACTCTAAAACTGTGGTGATAGCTGCACAACTTTGTGAATATGCTAAAATATGTGAATTATTCATTTGAAGCAGGTAAACTGGATGGTATGTGAATAAAACTATTAATAATCTTTCTTTTTTTTTTTTTTTTTTTGAGACAGAGTCTTACTCTGTCGCCCAATCTGGGAGTGTAGTGGTACGATCTTGGCTCACTGCAGCCTCCACCTCCTGGGTTCAAGTGATTCTGCTGCCTCAGCCTCCTGAGTAGCTGGGATTATAGGTGCCAGCCATCACACCCAGCAAATTTTAGTATTGTTAGTAGAGATGGGGTTTCACCATGTTGTCCAGGCTGGTTTTGAACTCCTGACCTCAAGTGATCCGCCCACCTCGGCCTCCCAAAGTGCTGCGATTATAGGTGTGAGACACCAGGCCCATCCTGTTAATAATCTTTTAAAAATATTATTTTGGTTTGTTTTCTTTTAAGTGTACCTCTATATGGTTCCTTTACTTAGAAATCCTAGAAGTCTGGCTCATGCCTGTAATCCCAGTACTTTGGGAAGCCAAGGTGGGTGGACTGTCTGACCTCAGGAGTTCGAGACCAGCCTAGGAAACACGGTGAAACCCCGTCTCTACTAAAATACAAAAATTTAGCCAGGCATGGCAGCGTGAGCCTATAGTCCCAGCTACTCAGGAGGCTGAGGCACATGAATTGCAAGAACCTGGGAGGTGGAGGTTGCAGTGAGCTGAGATCTCGCCACTGCACTCCAGCCTGGGTGACAGAGCAAGGCTCTAAAAAAAAAAAAGAAAGAAATCCTAGAAGTCTCCCTGCTGGCCAGGTACCAGCATCTAAGCCCCTCACCTGGGCAAGCCAAGGCCCTGCAAAGTCAGGCTTGAATCACTTTTCCAGGTTCCCCTTCTGTGGCCACTACCCCTACTCCAGCTATAGTAGGCTTTTGCTTTCCTGCTCCCATGCCCTTCCTCAGGCCTGCCCTGCACTGGGCTGCCCTTCACTGATTCAGAAGTCTTACTATGCGGTTTTGGTGCAGCTGAAATGCCAGCCCACCCACGACATTTTCTTCCCTGCCTATTCCCTGCAGACCCCATTGCATTGTATTCAATGTGCTAGTTTGGTTTGGTTCTTCTGCTAGACTGAGAACTCAAAAAATGAGGTCTTATTCATTTGTGTCCCTGGTGCCTAGTCTATGCTCCCACTCTTGTTGGCCTTTAACTTCTTTTTTTTTTTTTCTGAGACAGGGTCTTGCTGTTGTCCAGGCTGGAGTGCAGTGGCACAATCTCAGTTTACCTCAGCCTCTGCCTCCTGGGCTCAAGTGACCCTCCTACCTCAGCCTCCTTACAGGCATGTACCTAATTTTTTGTAGAAATGTTTTTTTTTTAAGATGGAGTCCCACTCTGTTGCCCAGGCTGGAGTGCAGTGGCGCGATCTTGGCTCACTGCACTCTCCACCTTCAGGGTTGATGTGATTCTCCTGCCCCAGCCTCCCAAGTAGCCAGGATTAAGGTGGCCCCCACCACGCCTGGCTAATTTTTGTAGTTTTAGTAGAGACAGGGTTTTGCCATGTTGACCAGGCTGGTGGTCTCAAACACCCTACCTCAAGTGATACACCTGCTTTGGCCTCCCAAAGTGCTGGGATTATAGGCATCAGCCACCACACCCAGCAAGATGGGGTTTTGCCATATTGCCCAGGCTTGTCTTGAACTCCTAGGCTCAAGTGATTCATACATGTTGGCTTCCTAAAGTGCTGGGATTATAGGTGTGAACCACCGTACCTGGCCTCATACATATTTATTAAATAAATCATGATGGGTGAACCTCCACTAATTTTACCTAAACCTGCAGGGTTTCTAGATGTCCTAGTGATATTCAAGGACTCCACAGTGCAGCACTACTTCCTAAGTCAAGAGGACTAAGAAACTTCCTTTATGGATGAGGCAGCTGATTATGTAACACATGCCCAGGGAGCTCTGCTTCCCCTCCACTGTGCTGTGGGTGTTTCTGGACTAGGTTTACCAGAGAAAGCCCTTGAGAGCCTTGACAAAAACAAATGGAGGGGACAGCAGATTAGTCACAAGGACCTACCTGTAAAGGTTAAGCCATGGGACTTAATGGGAATAATGCAATTTTGGCCCAGTGTTTTAGTTTCTGATTCCTAAGCAATTATGGGAAATGGTTCTGTGGGTAACCCCCTATATAGGCACCGAGGAATGAGAGCTAAGCAGAACCCTGGCACAGTTAGGGCTTGAGGAATATCTCACTTTATAGTGTTACTACTCAGCTATTTCCTTTTATATAATCCTTTATATAATCATATATTAGTTGACAGAAATAGGCCCTTTATATAAACCTCTATATATAATCATATAATAGTTAATAATATGAGTGTCTAAAGAATATTTCCCTACATATATACCTATAATTATATCTTAGTTCATATCGGAGGAATGCCTAGAGTGGACACAGTACAGAGCATGAATTAAGGAATAAGCAGCTTATAATCAGAGGAATGCCTAAGAGCAGACACAGTGCAGAGCATGATTTAAGGGAAAAAGTTATTCCAGGACAAGAATCCATGGCCCAGGTGGCAGCGTTCAGTATCGTAAAGATACTCGCTGTATGGCAGGCTTGGGGCGAGAGCCACATCTCCTGATAAAGGAGTTATAGAACCCTGCTCCAGTTCTTGTGGAAGGCTGCCCTCAGAACGGCAATCCACCTTGGTGACTGAATTTTATCAGCTCTTGCTACTGTGCTGCTTGAAAAGCATCTTCCCATAGAACCCATTGGAAGCTGCCAGAAGGTGGCAGTAACCCTGACAGCTCTGTCACTGCTTTGTGACTTAAAGCATCCTCCTATAAATCTTCTCAGAAGTAGTTTGACCATAGATAGAAGTATTGTACACTACGCACGGCCCACCTTCAAACCACCTAACGGGGGTGGACTCCTTACTGCGCACGGCCCTTGCCTTCGTGGGAACGGGCCCCTTGCTGTGCACTGTCCACCTCCTGGCCTAGGTGACCTAATGGGGGTGGGCCCCATGTTTTATTGCTCACGACCCTATGACTATCCTTAAAGATGATTTCACTCACTGCCCTGCTACCTAACCTATACATAATAAATACTCATGCTTTTGGACATTCAGGGCTCGCCTGACTCTGCTTATAGGTGGCATGGCCCCCCGAGCCCAGCTGCGTTTTTCTTGTACTTCTGTGTCCTGTCTCTTTATTTCTCGGATCCTGTGCCTCGGCACAGCATAAGGCTCACCCCACAACCCTGTGGGGCCATCAGCCCTACAGCTTCAACAAAAAGCTAAGAATCCAGCCACCCATAGCTAACAGCAGTGTCCTGTCACATACATGAGGCCACTGTGAGCAGCCTGAGCAGTGTGGGTGCAGGCCTGCAGAGACAGCTGCCACCCTTACCCACTGCTCCACATGGGAGGGAGGCTCAGGGCTGCCAGATATGACACTTTAAAATGAAGACAGATTTTATGATTAGTGTCCCAAGTTTTAACAGTTGGTACCTTACATTCTATTCTTACTCAAAAGAACAATAAATCCCCATGTGGCCAAAGGGTTCTCCCAGCTGGGCCTGCAGAGTCAGGGGAAAAGCCTCTGTTGCTATGTGGATAGCACAGTGCATGTAGAGTTATATAGACCAGGCTTTAATCACACACAGTTTGTGACCTTAGGTAAGTTTTTTTTTTTTTTTGGGAGACAGAGTTTTGCTCCTGTTACCCAGGCTGGAGTGCAATGGCGCGATCTCGGCTCACCGCAACCTCCTCCTCCTGGGTTCAGGTAATTCTCCTGCCTCAGCCTCCTGAGTAGCTGGGATTATAGGCACGCACCACCGTGCCCAGCTAATTTTTTGTATTTTTAGTAGAGATGGGGATTCACCATGTTGACCAGGATGGTCTCGATCTCTTGACCTCGTGATCCACCCGCCTCGGCCTCCCAAAGTGCTGGGATCACAGGCGTGAGCCACCGTGCCCGGCTGACCTTAGGTAAGTTTTTAACCTCTGAGCCTTATTTCAACTATAAAATGGGGATAAGGATATAGTACCTGCATTACAGAATTGTTTGAAGACGAGAGGAAATCTGTGCCTAGTACACAGTAAGTGCTCAAGAGATATGAGATACCCAGAGGAGCCACTGACCAATGCCGTGCTTCTCCATGAGGGCAATGAGGTCGGCCTCGGTGAGCAGCTTGGGCGGGCTGGTCTCCCCATCCACCATCTCCACAGTGCTGGGCTGAAAGCGGAAGCCTTGCTCGTAGACAGGGAGGATCTACAGGGAGTGGCAGGTGCAGCAGTCAGGTGATTCCATCATCACACTCAGGCAAAAAAAAACCCTCATTTCAAGGAAGATGATCCCGCTCCACTAGAGAGCTTGGGCTGGCAGCACAACTGTTCACCCTCTCCCTGGGCCCACCTCTTTATCACCTTGTCACTCCAGTGATCATATGGATACACGTCCAGATAGTTTCGGGCCAGAATCATGAGTCCATGGGCCACAAAGCGTTCCTGAGAGATGTCGATCTCCACTGTGGTCTCCTGCCCCTGAGCGTCCTGGGAGCAGCAAGCCAGGAAATGGCGAACAATAAACTCATACAGTCGCTGTTCGTTTCCCTAGGAAGAAAAGAGGAGACTGGAACTATCCCTAGAATATCACATCTCAAGGACAGGAACATCGCTGGTAGCCTTAGCCTAATGTTCTGCAGAGAACAGGCCACACTGCTCCTTAGGCTCTGCACTAACATGGAGTGCCAGGCAAACAATAAAAGAAGGAGAGGAATAAAAGACTAAGATTTCCCCAGCTTTGTGAGAAGACTACAGATGTAAGCAAGCCTAATGGCTCCTGTGCCAGCAGAGCCTGCCCCCGGCTAAGGAAATGACTGAGACTGACAAGCAGAGCTGAGTGGGACACTCTGCAGTGATGGGGGTGGCACAACTGGGGTGGCAGCAAAGTTTCAGGAGGCAATCAAAAGTGAGTCAGTCTTGAGAAGATGGATAAAACTCTCTAGTTCCAGGGACTGGAAAGGCAACAAGGCTCATGGTGGGGGTGGGGTATGCAGAGGTGAGGCACCTAGGTTGCCTATGAAGGACCAGCAGGGAATCAGCAGGAGCTGATGGAGAGTGGCAACGTGGGACTGGATTAAAACGGGGGCCCACCATGGGGAGGGGTGAGGCGGTCTTTCATGAAAGCCAGGCAGTGGATAGTGAAATGAGAGAGATCTCAAAATCACTTGTTTCTACATCAGAACTCACAGAGTAAATTCAAGTCCTACTACTGACCCCCAGCACTTCCATCTGGATTCCAGCAGGCAGCACATTCAGGGAAACCAACCTGTAAGCTATTGGTGTATTTGGTTGGGTGAATGGGAGGGTGAGCTTGGTCAGACTTGTTCCCATTGCGTGGGGTGGGACCACCCCGCTCTAGAATGCTCTGGGCAAAGGCCCCCCACCGTGGATCAGGGGTCTGCTGTTCCACCAACACCGTCAGGTTTAAGTCTCTGGGAAAAATGTTTGTTTCTGTTCGGGGATAGCTGATGTACCTAAAACCAAGGCAAACAAACAGAAAAATAAATTGCTAGGCTCACTGATTGTCGCTAGGCTCACTGATTGGTCTATAAACAACTGAAAGCACCCACTAACACCTACAAACACTCATCTGACATAGCCAACTCTACTGAAGGCAGTCTAGATTACCTGATTCAGGAAAGTTGAGATGAGACGCACCCCTTCATGGGGTGAAAAGCAGCTGGCTCTCCTGCTAGGACACTCAAAGAAGCCAAGGAGAAACAAAAGGGGCAGCATAGCACAGGATAAAGGCCAGCCACTTCATAGCCTGGGGCTTGTCATCACAGGCTGCTCTGAGGGTCAGTCTGACAGACCAACCTGGATGTAGCACATGAGCTTCACTGCTCCTGACAAGTTTCACCAGCGTGTGCTTTGAGACTTTTCTTAGAGGATACAAAGAATAACGCTGTCCAATAAAACTATACTGTGAACTCCATTTGTTTTTTCTTTTTCTTTTTAGACAGTCTTGTTCTGGCGCCCAGGCTGGAGTACAGCGGCATGATCTTGGCTTACTGCGGCCTCCGCCTCCCAAGCTCAAGTGATCCTCCAACCTCAGGCTCCTGAAGAGCTGGGACTACAGGTGTGTGGCACCGTGTCTAGCTAATTTTTATTTTTTGAATTTTTTGTAGGGATAGGGTTTTGCCATGTTGCCCAGGTTGGTTTCGAATTCCTGAGCTCAAGCAATCCCCCCTCCTAAGCCTCCCAAAGTGCTCAGATTTCAGGTGTGAGCCAGCATACCCAGCCTCTATTTGTCATTTTAAATTTTCAATTAGTCACTTAAGTTACTGCGATAGTTTAGATCCTATTTTCATAAACGTCTTCAAAACCCAGTGTATATTTTATATCTACAGCACAGCCCAATTTGGACAACTTGAATTTCAACTGTTCAGTACCTGCAGGCTGGACAGCACAGTTAGAGGACCTCAGTGCTGGGGTGTGCATGACGGGGGCAGGGAGGAGTTTCACAGGCAAACAACTCTCAAAGGTGCCACCCACTGTCTGCCGCTCACCAGGGCCACAGGGAGATGGCTGGGGAGTTAAAAGTAAGATCTGAATCCACTCTCTCAGTTCTTATATAGAAACAACTTTTCCATATCAGAAAAGAGAAGTCAAAGTCAAAGTCAAAATCCTGCCTCAGAGCTCAGGTGCTATCTACACAATCTGTTTTTCCCCATAAACTCTATTTCTAAAATATTTCATCCTGATAAAGATGTTTCCAATTCTACTCCCAAATCCAGAATATTTACCCTTGAGTGTAGAGCTTCTCAGCAATCCTCATGGTTTCTTTAGCATTTATTCTCAACTTTCGAGAAGCCAGTTTCTCAAGCTCCTGTAAAATGGGTCAACAGCCATGTTAGGTGTACTGCATGGGTCAGGCAGCACAACTCAAATACATAACTTACCTTCAGTCAAGTCTGGCCCCTGTCACTCTAGGTGCTTCTGTCAAACAGAGGGGAAAAGACTGCCCAAGAACAATTCCTGGGCCTGCCAGGCAGAGTCAGATCTTAGTCTGGTTCTCAGACTTTAACATGTGCAGGATTCACCTGGGAAGCAGACAGATTTCCTGACCACTGGGGAAGCTAACAGAGCAGGGCTGGGACATAAGCTGAAATCTGCAGAGTGAGTGAGTGAGTGCGTGTGAGAGAGAGAGAGAGAGAGAGAGAGAGAGAGAGAGAGAGAGAGTGAGTTTGTGTGTGTGTGTGCACGCGTGCATGCGCAAGGCTACATGCTAGGGTCTTAGGGTCTTGCTATCTTCAGGCTGATCTTGAACTCCTGGCCCTAAGCAATCCTCACACCCTGGCCTCCTAAAGGATCATAAGCGTGAGCTACCATACCTGGCCCAAAAATCCACATTTTTTTTGAGATGGAGTCTCGCGCTGTGGCCCAGGCTAGAGTGCAGTGGCATGATCTCGATCCACCACAACTTCTGCCTCCTAGGTTCAAGTGATTTTCTTGCCTCAGTCTCCCGAGTAGCTGTGATTGCAGGTACCCACACCCATGCCTGGCTAATTTTTGTATTTTTAGTACAGATGGGGTTTCACCATGTTGGCCTGACTGGTCTCGAATTCCTGACCTCAGGTGATCTACCCACCTCAGCTTCCAAGTGCTGAGATTACAGGCATGAGCCACCACCCCTGGCTAGAAATCTACATTTTTTTTTTTTTGAGACGGAGTCTCACTGTGTCGCCCAGGCTGGAGTATGGTGGCATATGATCTCGACTTAATGCAACCTCTGCCTCCTGGGTTCAAGGGATTCTCCTGCCTCAGTCTCCCAAGTAGCTGGGATTATAAGCATCCATCATGGCTGGCTAATTTTGTGTTTTTAGTGGAGACAGGGTTTCGCCATGTTGGCCAGGCAGGTCTTGAATTTCTGACCTCAGGTGATCTGCCCACCTTGGCTTGCCAAAGTGCTGGGATTACAGGCGTGAGCCACTGTATCTGGCCCAGAAATCTACATTTTTTAACAAGGAGTCTAATATACTGTTCTAACACAGACAGTCTGAGAATCGCACTTTGGGAACACCACCCAGTAAATTCTCCTGGAGGGTGAAAACCCCAGGAGGCCTCCTGGGGGATAACCAGCTGTCCTTTTCCCTAGGTGACAAGCTAACAATGCCAATGACTATATGTCACACTAAAGCACACTTAACCAGTGAGGACTAAAACATATATGCCTACTATATAAAATCAATGCATAACTTCTCCCATGCAGTCCCTTCACACGCATACATATTTACTGTGGCTTACCCAAGACAAAGAATGCACTGCCCACCAGTCCCTGCATGCTTCTTAGCCTCCATGCTTGCTAGTCTGAGTGTTCTCTATGTCCAGCCTTCAGAGTGAATTCTGATAGTAATTCTATTCCAAATTTTCCTGCTAAGTGGTAATTGAGAAGGCACACTCCTAATGCTATTTAGACTTGTGTTCTGTTGGGGTGGGTGGCTCTTCCTGGAGTCAAACAATTTGAGAAGCCCTGTTCTAAAGTAGGTTCATATAGCAGATTATTTAAAGTAATATTTACACAGATTATGCAGCAACATGAAAAAAATGGTTGGTTGGAAAACACAAGCTCTCTATTTAATTACAATGCTGTAAAAATATGCATGTTAAAAAACAGGAAGAGATACCAGTAATTATGTTAAGGATAGAGAAGTAGTAAGTTGTCTTTCCCTTTTTTGTTTCCCGAACCTCATACAAGGCAACTATATTGCATTTGTTAACTTTAAAAAAAAAAGCTAAGCAGTGGTTGGATGTGGTGGCTCATGCCTGTAATCTCAGTACTTTGGGAGGCAGAGGCTGGAGAATTACTTGAGGCCAGGAGTTTGAGAACAGCCTGGGCAACATAGTGAGATTCCGTCTCTACAAAAAATTTTAAAAATATTTAGCTGGTCATGGTGGCACGTGCCTACAGTCCCAGTTACTTGGGAGGCTGAGGTGGGAGGATCACTTGAGCCCAGGAGTTTGAGTCTACAAAACAAACAAACAAAAACAGTGAGGCTAAGCAGGCCTGTCTTTCTCAAGTGTTTTCTTGTGTGGCCTGGTGATGGGTCATATTTTCTTCCACTAAGCCACAGTCTAAAAAGTAGAACCATGGCCCCAAAACAGTAAATAATTGATCCCTCAGTGCCTGAAACAGCCTGTCCGGAACATACCACAGTGTCCAAAGCTTGAGGCCGCCACTTGCTCTTGGGCTTGGATCTGACCTCTACTACAGTTGCCATGGGATCCTAGAAAGCCAGGAAAGCAAAGATCATGTTAATTGTTAGTGCATCATCTCCAAACTTCCTGTGAACAGCACATGCCCATCCTTCCAGATCACTGACCACCAGCTGAACCCACAGTGACAGCCCAAGGGAGTGACCATTTAATGTTGCTTGTAGCTGACAGTATGGTGGACACCATCACTACTGTCCAAATCAAACCAAGATTGTGAAGGGCAATTTCACAAGCCTTAAGGTGCTTCCTCCAGAGCCTATGAAATTCAACAGCCTATGTATTGCCTGAATACAGTTTTCTATGTACACATGCACAGTGCTCTTTTTGTTGTTTTGTTTAAAATATAGAGATGCGGTCTTGCTATGCTGCCCAGGCTGGCCCAGAAGTCCTAGGCTCAAGCAATATTCCTGTCTCAGCCACCGTGTCTGGCGGTGGTCTTTTTATTTAACAAACAATTGTGCAGTGTCACACAGACTCCCAGTGGTCCAGGGTCAAAAGGTGGAGTAAGAGAGAGATGGGGAAGGCAGCATGGTCTGCAGAAGGGTCAGGGACACATTGGAATCCAGTTGTGCCCTGCCATGTATAGCTCTCATGTGTCTGTGGGTAAGTCACTCTTTCTTTAGCTTCCTCATCTGGAAAATGGGAATGCTATTACTGCCTTTACAGGCATTATCATGATTAAACAAAACAACACATAATAAAGTGTGCCTGATCCATAGCAGGTGCTACACAGTTATCACTCCCCTTGCCTAATTAGTAACAAATCCGCCAGTGGGCTACAGCCAAGAAGCACACATGAATTAAGCATAGAGAGCTCAGAATTTTACTTAAGCAAGACTCTGTACAGCCTCTGGGTTAAACCAAGCTGTTATGTGCTGACTAATAGGAAGTGACATTAGAAAGTAGACAACCAGCCCAAGGGCCAGGAAACATCAGGGTGAGTCCCAACCCTGCCACCAACCAGTCTATGGCCTGGGCCAGTCTTGCTCCCTTCTATGGCACATGGGTATCCCACCTGCTCCCTAACCCTCTCCTGAGTCACTCTAACCTCTGCTCAAATGTCACCTCTCCCCTCCCTGTCCCTCCAGCCTTTCTCTATCCCTTTACTTTGCCTTATTTTCTTCCTAGCTTTTATCAATATATAAAATTAACCCACTAATTTGTGACTTTCACCTCTCTAGATTTCCTCATGCAACCAATAAAGAGGAGGCTGAGCCAAATGCTGTCCACTCTCTCCTAGCTCTTTAAGTCCAAGATCTGGACTGGTCTAGCTGATCCTTGCTAATTTCTGGTGACAGTATATGCTGCAAGGTGGGATTTCAACTATACAATTTCTAAAAATTTCTGATTTTATCGAAAAATAATGCAGATCCTTCCCTTCTTTTAGTGCTGTTTTCATGAGGTTCTAGTCTTATTGGTCCCCAAAAAGTGATCTCCCCTGAGATGCAAACTTAAAGCTAAATTCCAATGGGAGAATGAGACAGGATCGCCTCTGCCAACAGATGGGGAGTGGCTTGGGAGGTATACAGAATGTTTCCTAGATCATCAGGGTCTGAAGGACATCTTACCTCCATACACAACTGATAGAGAACTAGGCACGCCGTGTGGTTAAAGAGTCGATGCCTTTTCCAGCTGAATTCTACGATACCATCTTTGTGGTCATGAGTTACTGTATTAAGGAGAGACAAACAGAAAGGCTGTGTATCAGAGAAGCCACATGATATGACAGATAAAAGGTATATTATAGTGAAAGTCAAAGGAGTATCAAATAGGGAAGAGTTTCTGGATAAGAAAGGGAACTTTAAGTGGATTTTAAGGGGCCAGGGAGGACGACAGCAAGACTACAATAAATCACATCTTTACTATTGCTATTTTTTTTGAGATGGAGTTTCGCTCTGTCACCCAGGCTGGAGTGCAATGGTGCAATCTCGGCTCACTGCAACCTCCGCCTCCCAGGTTCAAGCAAATCTCCTGCCTCAGCCTCCCGAGTAGCTGAGATTTATAGGCGCGTGCCAACACACCCAGCTAATTTTAGTATTTTTAGTAGAGATGGGGTTTCACCACGTTGTCCAAGCTGGTTTTGAACTCCTGACCTCAAGTGATCCGCCAGCCTTAGCCTCCCAAAGTGCTGGGATTACAGGTGTGAGTCACTGTGCCTGGCCTAGTATTGCTATTAATGCTCACAGTCCCCCACCTTAATATTGGGCCCATAGGTCCCAGGCCATAACCCTTACTCCAGGCGCTACCTTTAATTCTGTGGAAGATTTCTGGTACAAAAGCCTGAATGGCTTTGAACCGCTCCACCACAAAGCCAAGTGTGGGGAACTGGCAGCTGCCATAACTGATAAGCTGCTCTGACAGCACCTCAGGAAAAATCTTCTGAAGCCGCAGGGTCTGGAACCTAGTAAAGGCAGCTCCTGGAGAGTGAGGGAGAGTGAAGAAAGGAGACAATTTTGGATGATGAGAGGCCAAGGCTGGCTGAACACATCTACATTGAGCCCATTTTTAGTCCCATCACACAACATTAACATGGTCATAAGAGGAGTCCGCCCAGCTCCTCACCGATCCTCAGGTCCAGCTCCTGCCTCACATCCACAGCATCGCTCACCCTCTGATCAGGCTCGGTCAGGTTTTCACAGGCTGTCCTGACAGCATGGGGTGTAATCTCAGAGAATCGGGCTCGCAACACCTGCAGACTGGGCTTTACTGCAGAACACAAGGCACCAAGGTCAAAGTCAAATCACACTGCCCTCCATCTTACAGGGCTCACTTTTCTTAAACTACCGTGAAATAAAGGTAAACCAGTTCAAGTAGCTGTGAGGTACCCAATTTACCTATTAGGTTAAATCAATGGTGTACAGTGATAAGGAGGAAATAACACCATAACCTTTAAACTGAGTGTGTCGTCAGAAATAGCGATGGACTCACAGACCGGGAGGGAGAGTAACTGCAGAGGAACGCATCCACCGTCCACTTGCACATACAAAGGAGAACACTCTATTTACGGAATTCTAAAGTAGAGAAAGTCAGCAGCAGCAGCAGCACTTACCAGCCTTACATACGTGGATAATCTCAAAGCCAATGTTTTCACCTTCTCTATCACAGTCAGTCCAGATCACCAAAGCCTGACACTGGTGAGTCTCTCGCTCCAGAGTTTTCTGAAGTTCATAGTGGAATAAGAATAGTGAGAACAGAATTGCAGAACAGTGACTTGACACCTCTATGCTAAGGGGATCTGAATGAAGGTTAATGCTGTTCTTGGAGTGTGCCAACTTCGCGAGGGAAAGAGATCAGAGAAAACCGCTCTCATTGGTGCTAATGATGACACGACTCCTCAGAACCATAAATGAACTTCCAGCAAAGAGGATTTAATATAATTTCCCCAGCATGATAAAACCTAAAATACAGCTCTAACACACACACACAGACACACACACACACACACACACACACCCTTGAGAGGTTCTGATTATGACCTAAAGAAAATGAATCTCAATTGAGTTTCATCCAATGGTTTCTCAGTTCTCAATAAGTTAACTATGCATGCCCTGACTGCTTGACAACTGGTAATTTACTGTCAAACAGGTATTTATACTTTGTAGCCTCTTCCATCTAACAAGGGGAAAGATGGGGGCTACACTAATAATTTATAATACTTATTCCTAGGATCATTTTTTGAGATGGGGGTCTCACTTTCTCTTCAGGCTGGAGTGTGGTGGTGCAATCACAGCCCACTGCAGCCTTGACCTCCTGCCTCCTGGGTTCATGTAATCCTCTTTCATCAGCCTTACTAGTAGCTGGGACTACAGGTGTACATCACCATGCTTGGTTAACTTTTTTTTTTTTTTTGGAGAGAGAGGGTCTCACTATGTTGCCAAGGCTTGTCTCAAACTCCTGGGGTTCATGTGATCCTGGCTTGTCCCCACAAAGTGCTGGGATTACAGGCGTGAACCACCATGTCCAGCCTTTATGCCTAGGATTTAAACAACTACTATTCATTAAAAAATGCTTATTTCAGTTCCTTGGCCACTTAGCCATATTTACACAATGAGTGGAAATAGCTTTTTAGTTGGTAGTGAGTTTGGTGGAAAACCTTATCTCCAAATGCCAATTTATTAAAAATACAGAAATCACTTCGTTTGACTCTTTGTAGTTGTTCAGTGCCATATGTCTTCCAAAAGACCTTACCTTGATGTCAACAAAATTCTCTGGGCAATACTTTTCAATTTCTGCTTCAAAGAGGACAAGAGGGTTGCAGCTCTGCCTAGAAATGAAAACAGAGTCCCAACTCAGTACACGATGGACAGCCCTTGAATCTAATGACAGCAAACTGTTCCAATGGGCTCATAGTGGATACCCAATAAAAAAGGTCCCAGGGAAGTGAAATAAGGCTATGACCCTCTGCATGACATACTTTCCCCTTTCCATGAGTGTGAACAGGACTGAGAAGATGGGATTCTAGAGTCCTTTCACAGGTAAATGCAATCCAACAGCTGCATGAAAAAGGTCTGGTAATTTTGAGGAAACACCAAAAGTAACTGCTTAAAGATTTAATAAAAATTCACAATGGATCAGATAATCCTAGGTCATCTTAGTATTATAAATTACCAAGGCACATTGGCTCACATCTGTAATCCTAGCAGTTTGGGAGGCCAAGGCAGGGTTTGAGACCAGCCTAGGCAACATAGTGAAACTCCATCTCTGCTACAATAGAAAAAATTAGCTGGGTGTGGTGGCACATGGCTGTGGTACCAGTTACTTGGGAAACTGAAGCACAAGACTCACTTTTACCCAGGAGGCAGAGGCTGCAGTGAGACGAGATTGGGCCACTGCACTCTAGCCTGTAGTCTGGGCAACAGAGCAAGACTCTGCCCCGCCCCCCACAAAAATTACCCAGTAAGATCAACATGCCTCAAAATTCCTGTGCAATTTCACAACTTACTATAATCTGAAAGTCCTTCCCTTGAGAATTGTACTGACCATTTTCGAAACTGCATCTGGAAATCATGAGCCAGTAAATGTCCAGAAACTGAAGTCATTACCATGGTAACGTTCTGAATAATGACAAAATTCAAAATTCAGTTAGTCTTTTTACATTTATATTTTGCCAAATCATTCAAATGAGAGGGAGGAACTTCTATTAAAGACATTTAAAACAAACAAACAAACAAACATTGGGAAGAAACAAACATAAATATAGCTCTTCAAAGCCAAAAGCCATAGGAATACAATCATCATTCTAATTCTATCTAGTACCATGATACCCTTTGTATCACTTAAATTTTCCTCAAACTACTGTATATTAGCTTTTTTTTGGTAATAAAGAGCTGAGATGAGACCATATTTTATTAAAAAGAGACTTACTCATAAATTATAAAGTGATCACCTATAACCAATAACTAATTGGTTAGTTAGTATCACTTATAACCAATAACCTATAACTAATTGTTACCTTTAAGTTAACAATTGTTATTCTTAAAACAGTGACGGCTGGGCGCGGTGGTTCACACCTGTAATCCCAGCACTTTGGGAGGCTGAGGTGGGTGGATCACGAGGTCAACAGATTGAGACCATCCTGGTCAACATGGTGAAACCCCGTCTCTACTAAAAATACAAAAAATAGCTGGGCATGGTGGCGCACGCCTGTAGTCCCAGCTACTCGGGAGGCTGAGGCAGGAGAATTGCTTGAACCCAGGAGGCGGAGGTTGTGGTGAGCCAAGATCGCGCCATTGCACTCCAGCCTGGGTAACAAGAGTGAAACTCCGTCTCAAAAAAAAAAAAAAAAAGACAGTGACATATTATATATGACTATGCTACTTTCTCTTGCTTATAATAGAAATATTTTAGCACCTACCTGGCCGTATAGGTGATAATCAAATTCATAGATCTTGTTGAATTTTGAAAGTCCTTCTCTCTATAAAACAAAAATAAGTAAAAAATATAAATTACTTAAAATATAAATTATTTAAAACAATGGATTCCTCAGTATAAAGATCAAGCAAAACTCCAGAAAGTAGGGATATTAAAACTGTGATACTCTTTCCTATAGATAAAAACTAGGCAGTTTGACAAGGTAGCTCACGCCTGTAGTCTCAGCACTTTGGGAGACTGAGGCGAGGATCCTTTGAGGCTAAAAGTTCAAGACCACCCTGGGCAACATAGTGAGACCCCATTTTTGCAAAAATAAAAATATAAGAACTGGAATCCAGTCTACAAAGCACTTTTTCAGCCATGATTATGAACGAACAAGACTCTCTCTGAGTAGATCCCACCTTTTCCCACCAAGGAATTAAAAGCATGTGAGTTCTATATCAACACTAAATGGAAGACAAGAGAAGGGCTGAGTAGGAACTGGGGAAACACTGAAGAGCCAAGAAGGATGAGTACTGGAAGATTCTCCCTTAGCCACAAAAAAACAATTTTCATATGTGTAACACTGAATGAGGTCTTCGTTGAGGCATAATGGCAATTCTCTCTCTCTTTTTTTTTTTTTGAGACAGTCTCACTCTGTCACCCAGGCTGGAGTGTAATGATGCGATCCTGGTGCACCACAACCTCCATCTCCAGGGTTCAAGTGATTCTCCTGCCTCAGCCTCCCGAGTAGCTGGAATCACAGGTGCCTGTCACTGTGCCCAGCTAATGTTTTTTTTTGACAGAGTCTTGCTCTGTCAACCAGGCTGGAGTGCAGTGGCACGATCTTGGCTCACTGCAACATCTGCCTCCTGGGTTCAAGTGATTCTCCTGCCTCAGCCATCTACTGAATGGTTGGAACTACAGGTGCGCACCACCACACCTGACTAAGTTTTTACATTTTTTAGTAGAGACAGGGTTTCACCATGTTGGCCAGGATGGTCTCAACCTCCCAACCTTGTGATCCACCTGCCTCGGCCTACCAAAGTGCTGGGATACAGGCATGAGCCACCATGCCTGGCCCTAATTTTTGTATTTTTTTGTAGAGATGTGGTTTTGCCATGTTGGCCAGGCTGGTCTCAAACTTCTGACCTCAAGTGACCTGCCTGCCTAGGCCTCCCAAAGTGCTGGGACTATAGGTGTGAGCCACCATGCCCAGGCGGTCATACGAAAATTTTTTTTTGAGATGGAGTCTCACACTGTTGTCCAGGCTAGAGTGCAGTGGCATGATCTTGGCTCACTGCAACCTCAGCCTCCTAAGTTCAAGCAATTCTCCTGCCTTGGCCTCTCAAGTAGTTAGGATTACAGGTGTCCGGCACCATGCCTGACTAATTTTTAAAAATATTTTTAGTAGAGATGGGGTTTCATTATGTTAGCCAGGTTGGTCCCAAGCTCTTGACCTCGTGATGTGCCCACCTTGACCTCCCAAAGTGCTGGGATTACAGGAATGAGCCACCACACTCGGTCATAATGGCAATTCTTAAGAAATCATTTTTGTTATCTGTCAATAAGAGTTCACCTTGTTCCAACAAAAGAAAATCCCCTCTACAAATTCCATTTGCTAGTTAAGCTTTTCCAGTAATAGAGAATAGAAAAATCATCTAATCTAATGGTTTCTGAATTCTTTTTAAGAAAGCACTGTAGCCTTCTCAGATTCTGATAAGAACTCTGATAAGTAACATGATGGAAGTTCTGTGGCTGCAACAAGGCTGATTCCTGCTAATCCAACCTCTTCCAGTCCAGCCCTAAGTGACTCTTGAGAACACAGTATGTTCCCAATGGTCCAACCCTCTCCGGATACTTGTCTAATAACTTGTCTGAGACCTTAGGTCCGGGGCTCTCCCAAGACAGCCTGTTCTACTAATAGACAGTCTTGACAACTTAAAATGTTTTTCCTGGCTAGACGCAGTGGTTCACACCTGTAATCTGAACACTTTGGGAGACCAAGTCGAGTGAATCACTTGAGCCCAGAAGATCAAAACCAGCCTGGGTAATATGGCAAAACCTATCTCAAGGAAAAAAAAAAAAATAGCTGGGTGTGGTGGCACGTGCCTGTGATCCCAACTACTATGGAGGCATGAAACTGTGGAGGTTGAGGCTGCAGTGAGCCATAATCGTGCCACTGCACACTAGCCTCGGTGAGACTCCATCTCAAAAAATAAAATAAATCCCAGCACTTTGGGAGGCTGAGGCACCTGAGGTCAGAAGTTTGGGATCAGCCTGGCCAACATGGTGAAACCCTATTTCTTATAAAAATACAAAAATTAGCCAGGAATGGTTGTGGGCACCTGTAATCCCAGCTACTTGGGAGGCTGAGGCATGAGAATTGCTTGAACCTGGGAGGCAGAGGCTGCAGTGAGCCAAGATTGTGCCACTGCACTCCAGCCTGGGCAATAGAGCAAGACTCAGTCCCCCCCACCCCCAAAAAAATTCACTGAAAACTGAAAAATTCTCTGACATAAAATGGATTCCTCCCGGAGGGTTCTGGGTAATTGGGTATTTCATCTGCCATTTGGGTTTCTCATGTCTAATAAGGGCTTTGCCTGAAATGACCACTTCCATCCCTCCCATTCCTTTTCCCTGCATTGGGCCCCATAGGGGAGACAAAAAAAAATTAAAAATAAATAAAGACTATACTTTCAGGGATCATTTACATAGTTTGTTACTAGAGAAGTTTCTCTGAATGTGTACAACACAGAATGGAAAAAAGTTTTTGCAATCTACCCATCTGACAAAGGGCTAATATCCAGAATCTACAAAGAACTAAAACAGATTTACAAGAAGAAAAACAAACAAGCCCATTCAAAACTGGGTGAAGGATATGAACAGACACTTTACAAAAGAAGACATATATGAGTCCAACAAACATGAAAAAATGCTCATCATCACAGGTCATTAGAGAGATGCAAATCAAAACTACATTGAGATATCATCTCATGACAGTTAGAATGGCGATCATTAAAAATTCTGGAGACGAGACGCTGGAGAGGATGTGGAGAAATAGGAGCACTTTTATACTGTTGGTGGGAGTGTAAATTAGTTCAACCATTGTGGAAGACAGTGTGGCAATTCCTCAAGGACCTAGAAATAGAAATTCCATTTGACCCAGCAATCCCATTACTGGGTACATATCCAAAGGATTATAAATCATTCTATTATAAAAACACATGCACAAGAATGTTCACTGCAGCACTGTTTACAATATTAAAGACTTGGAACCAACCCAAATGCCCACTGATGATAGACTAGATAGGGAAAATGTGGCACATATACACCATGGAATACTATGCAGCCATAAAAATCGATGAGTTCGTGTCCTTTGTAGGGACATGGATGAACCTGGAAACCATCATTCTCAGCAAACTGACACAAAAACGGAAAATCAAACACCGCATGTTCTCACTCATAGGTGGGTGTTGAACAATGATAACATGTGGACACAGGGAGGGGAGCATCATGCACTGGGGTCTGTGTTGGGGGAACAAGGGTAGGGACAGCAGGGGGTGGGGAGTTAGGGAGGGATAACATGGGGAGAAATGTCAGATATAGGTGATGGGGAGGAAGACAGCAAACCACATTGTCATGTAGGTACCTATGAACTATCTTGCATGTTCTTCACATGTACCCCCAAACCTAAAATGCAATAAATATATACATAAAATACATACATACATACATATATACATACATACATACATAAGGCTGGGTGCAGCGGCTCACACCTGAAATCCAAGCACTTTGGGAGACTGAGTTTGGTGTATCACAAGGTCCAGAGATCTAGACCATCCTGGCTAACAGTGAAACCCCGCCTCTACCACAAATATAAAAAATTAGCCAGGTGTGGTGGCACATCGCAGCTACTCAGGATGCTGAAGCAGGAGGATCGCTTGAATTCAGGAGACAGAGGCTGCAGTGAGCCAAGATCGCTCCATTGCACTCCTGCCTGGGCGACAGAGCGAGACATTGTCTCAAAAAAATAAATAGGCTGGGCGCAGTGGCTCACACCTGCAATCCCAGAACTTTGGGAGGCCAAGGTGGGCAGATCAGGAGGTCAGGAGTTCTAGACCAGCCTGGCCAACAGAATGAAACCCCGTCTCTACTAAAAATACAAAAATTAGCCAGGCATGATGGTGTATGTCTGTAGTCCCAGCTACTCGGGAGTCTGAGGCAGGAGAATCACTTGAACCCAGGAGGCGGAGGTTACAGTGAGCCAAGATTAAGCCACTGCACTCCAGCCTGGGCAACAGAGTGAGACTTTGTCTCAAAAACCACCACAACCATAAATAAATAAATAAATAAAATGTTTATCCCGATCTCTCTCTCTCTCTCTCTCTCTCTCTCTCTCTCTCTCTCTCTCTCTCTCTCTCTTTCTTTTTTGAGACAGAGTTTTGCTCTTGTTCCCTAGGCTAAAGTGCAGTGGTGTGATCCTGGCTCACTACAACCTCTGCCCACGGGGTTCAAGCAATTCTCCTGCCTCAGCCTCCCAAGTAGCTGGGATTACAGATGCCCCTCACCACGCCTGGCTATTCTGTATTTTTTTTTGGTGGAAATGGGGTTTCACCATGTTGGCTAGGCTGGTTTCAAACTCCCGATCTCAAGAGATCCACCCGCCTCGTCCTCTCAAAGTACTAGGATTATAGTCATGAGCACCTGGCCGCCTGGCTGACTTTTATATTTTTTTCTAGAGAAGGAGTCTCACTATGTTGCCCAGGCTGGTCTCCTTTTCTAGAGAAGGAGTCTCACTATGTTGCCCAGGCTGGTCTTAAGTGATCCTCCTGCTTTGGCCTCCAAAAGTGCTGGGACTACAGGAATAAGCCATTGTGCCCAGCCTCTCTATATATTAGATCTTTAATAATTTATCATAAGGCATAAGGAAGTATAATTTACTTTACCATTCCATTACTAGATACTTGTTATTTCCAATGTTTCACTGTCACAAAGTGGAAGGACCATCACTTGATTCTGATTTGTGTGTGTCTCTAAGTCTTAACTCCTCTATCAGAA